ATCAATTGCATTGATCTCCTCGACAGAAGCAGAGCTTTCCCAAGCCTGGAACTCTTCTCGGTCCATGAGGACTAAGGTGAACCACACTGGCTTGTTAGTAGCAAGGCACTTCGATCTCTGAATTCCAAAGTTTCTTCGGAAATTAACAGACTCTAGCTTATAGACCTCGGAGACTAGACGTTCTTCGAAAAGAAGATTTTTATCCCTAAAGAAATTTAGATCCAATAGTAGTGTAGTTCTTGTTGCCTTGCCATTCGTGTGAAACTCATGTTGTCTACAATATGTGTACGGAATGAGGCCTGCCGGGAATCTTGCTTTATTAAAATTAAAGACAATGGTTTCCCATCGACAATAATCCTCCCAGTTTAAAAGCATCAACATATTGCCGGGGCTAAACACGTTAAGACCTCGAGATGTCTTAAACGTCTTCAAATCATAACTTACCTGCATCTGCTTGAGTGACCGTTTGATAAGTTTATCATTTTGATTTGCAGTCTTGTTCCGGGATGCATCATGTTTGACAGTGTGCAGTTTAACGATCTTCGACACGGGGCAGCCCATCTTGGATTGATCTTTGGATTAGTTTCCTTCCAGTTGTTTGCGGAGAAGCTGATGTGACTAGAGGTTTGGAAATTAAGTTGAAGGATCGGCATCTCATTAACTACATCTTGTCGCTTTATAGGTCTAGTTCTAAGTTGTCTGATGAAGCTGTTTCAAATCGCCTAATAAAGAAATTGTTCTCCCGCGCCTTTGATCAAGCTTTGTTCCCTTTTAATCCTCTGTTGAATTTTGTTATTCTTATTTTAAAGGCACTAATCCAATGTTTGCATAGCTTAGTATTGCTTCGCATCTGCGACTTCTTGGTGAAGACTATAGCAAGAAATCAAATATTCAGTTGCAAACATGAAATGCTAAGTATTTTAACTATCTTATAGTATAATTTAATATAGAGAATAATATAGTATAACATATCTTATTAATATAAAACTTCTCAGTCTTATAATAAAAGCGAATCAAATCACAAAGCGTTTCTTTAGAAGAAGGCACGAATAATAAATTTATTCATCCACTTAGCAAAAGTTTAAGCTACATCCACCCAACCTTAATTATTTGAATTATCCTCATCTATAATGAGTTGAAACAACAGAGTAGCAGTGTGATTGTTTCTTTCACATATCAGAACACATCCGAATAAAACTTGCTAATCACAGCCGGAGATTGCTCCGCCCACCACCAATCTGTAGAGTCACTCTAATCAACAGTCAGCACTCACTCATCAAGCGCAAAGACCAAAACCATTTAAGCAGCAATACAAAGATTTGTATTTAGAAAACCAACTCTCATTCAAGAATAATGACCCTTCTATCATCCCACACACTCCGCGTATCAAGAACGCAATCACAAACCCCATTGTCCTTCCTCCCTTTGCACTTCAACCAAGCCCCAACCCCATGACTCTTACTTTCCTCCTTGCCAGCCCTCTTCGCCTTCTCCTCTGTGGCAGCATCCCATCCCCTAAACTTCGGCACCATATCGACCTCTACAGCCCTCACTATTTCACCCGTCGACAGCTCCCACCGGTTCCTCACATGTAGACTAACACTATGCGTAGGGCATTTCATGTAAAGTCTCGACTCTAAGAAACCCAGGTCTTCTTGCAGTTCTGGATTGAGAGGAGAGACGAGGATGGGAACGCGGTGAGGAGTGTCGATTATGTAGGAGTACTTGAAATAGGGCTTGTATTGCTCGTTCCAGAGGACAGGCGTGCGGGATATGGCGATTAAGATGTGTGTATTGTCTGGCTTTTCTTGCATGGCGGTGTTGATGGTGTTGTTTATTATGTAATCGAGGGTGATATTCTTGCGGCGTCGCGGTGCTTCCGCGGTCTGCGTATTGGGCGTGCTTGCTTCCGCCATGATTTGCTGCTGGGAGACATATTGTCTTGCTATTTCCGAAGGCTCTTGTTGTTATTGTTGGTTTGGAAGTTAAGTTCGTAAAAGTAAACATTTATCGATTTCCTTTATCAAGTTTGTGAATGGGTGGGCGGCTTTGTGGCGCTGTTCACGTCCATTCGATGACGAACTTGTATTAAACAAAGGAGTGAATAATAACTTGCTGCATTGTTGGAATTATTTGACATAACTCTACTCTGGAACTTCAAAAGCTACAACCGTTGTTTCTCTGTTTCAAAATACCATCGCTGATCGAGAAAGGCTTGTACACTTCTTTAGTTACATGACTATTGTAGGTTTATTACCAGGCGATCTTTCACATTCAGGGAAACCTTTATGGTGGAAACTCATTTTTTATTACCTGTCACATACATACTACTTTGACCTTACTCGTGGATATACAAGCTTCAATCAAGGGGAGTATATCCCCCACACTTTACTCAAACCACGACTCTGGTCCAAACCAGATGGCGAACTGCACCTGGTCCATGAGAACCAAGTAATCACCTTTGCCTCGGGTACTCTTTCCTCTGCCACTTTCCATTCCATTGAAAGCCATCTCGTGCGACAAAGCCCTCGACAGGAGCGTGGTCGAGGTTGTGTTTCATGATGAACGGATTGTTTTTGCTGATGCGATCCTTAGACGGAAGCGCAGGATTGAAAATTATTGAAGCGTTTTCATGCCCCGTGGAAACTACTCTGCTCCAGCCTTCGTAGTCCTTGTGGTCCATGGCAACGAGTACGCAGAGTGATTCAATGTCGAGGTCTACCTTCGCGTAGAAACGGTTGAAAAAAGGAGGGAGATTACAAAGCGGACGGAGGGTTTCTTCAAAATCACCTCTACACGTCATTGAGTTATCGATAGACACCGTCCTTGAGGCTTTTGTCTTGGTTTTCTTGGACTTCGTCTCTTAGAAAAAGATATTCCGTGGGGGAGAAATCCGTGGGTGTTGTGAAACTTGATATAAGAGGATCTGGTTTCACTCGGTTTCTCCAGAATATCCATTCTGCATGATAGTACTCTATCGATGATTGTTTGGTGCTATTTGCTGCACTACAAATGCGAAGCGTTTCATTGATGCTCAATTTTCAATTTTCGCGGTAATCACTGCCCTTTGTTGTCGAATGAATATTGTCTCGCTCTTCACTTAAAATATATCGAATTGTTAAAATATTATTGCTATGCTGTTCTAACAAACAATCCTATTATTTCATGACTCTCATTCAGCTGTTTTAGGATTAGTCTGCAGCAAGAGGTCTACAGCCTGGACATTTCAAAGTATTCAAGTACTTAAAGCCCATCTTTACCTCCAGAATCAAATCACAATTACCCAACCGACTGACAAATCCGAATACAACACCAGCCCATCAATTCATACTGCGGATACAACTATGTGTCCACCAACTGAAAGCCCGCAGGGGTCTGAAGATACCAAAACCAAGGAAGAGGTCGAGAAGGCAAGCTCTGCTGATGAATCCTCAACAACAGATGAGCGATTTCGAAGAAATGTAAAGCGCGAAGAAAAGAAAGAGAGAGAGGAGAGAGAGCTCGCTAAAGCTAAAGAGGTAGTGGAACGCATCCGCAGAGCAGAAGACGCGAATTGGCGCGCACAAGAGGAGTGGAATGAGTCACGCAGGAGAATCCGAGTAGAAAAGGAGCGATCCGAAAGAGAGCCTCAACGTCAATCCTGGAAGGCGGCCTGTGTTCTCTACTTTGGAGATCAAATGGGTGTGAAACCATTCCCACAGCCTCCATCCATTGCTTGCCACAGAACCCACTGCGTCCGTGGGGAAACCCTCGGTGTCTGCCACCACGTCATCGAACTACTGCTCAGCCAGGACGCTGAGCATCTTAAGAACGAGCGCCTACGCTGGCACCCGGATAAATTTTCAGGCAAAAGCGAGGTTGATGCCAAGAAAGCTCAAGAGATGTTTCAGTTGATACAGCATTTGATTGACTCTGCTCCATGATGTTGGGTTAGGGTCTAGGTGCAACCAAACAGAATTTGCATGTGAATTGACGGATAGGTTTTCTCACGCAAAACAGTCGTTAGATATCGCATTAAAATCAATGCAATGCAAAAGTTAATACAAAAGATAGATGCCTTATATGATGAGCAACAAAGTAGTGAACACCCCGAATTGTACAAGGAATGTAAGTAGCCGTAACTGATTTTTCTCTTCCCATAATTGGCTCCTGAGAGAAGGCAACACATGAACTCTGCACTTTAAAAGTCAACCTGCAAAACACTAAACGATTAATTCCAAGTAGACTATCTATCTATTGGGTGGCTAAATTACATAGTATCGGTAAATAATCAGCCAAGCCTCGGACCACCATGTTGCTGAAGCCCCGCCCCCTATTTATTAACCGAGCCCCACAAGCCCAATTTGTTCACAACAACCTCATCGCGCATGGAACCCTTTGTTCGCGAATTGAACCTACAAGAGAGCAGGCTTGTCCTTCTTGGTGTTTGCATAGAATTACAAAGCCTATGTCTAAATATATGAAGCTTAAAAGAAGTAGGTAGTATAAGGATAACTTCCTGGAACAGAGTGAAGAGAAAAGAATTGCGGCAAGCGTTGGTTTATATTACATCAAAGGAGGAAATATTCTCCTAAGCCCACAGACTTCAACCTATCAGCTTTACCATCAGACGGGGAACGTTTCGTGTATGCATCTAATCATCATCTCCCTTTAAGCAAAGTCTATCTTTCTTCCACTGATTCATCATCATGTTCCTCAAATCCATATTGACGAGGGACAATCACAACCGCGAACTCTTGGCTAGGATCTGACTTATAGTTTCATCGTAATAAAGTATATAATAATATGCTATGTAAAAGAGTGTGTATGTAGAATTGATGGTGATCTAAGACTGTAGAAGAACCCGTATTTATAGAGTGTGATGCAATTTTAGCGACATACCTCCACTTCACGTGATGCCCCCTTTTGAACCCCAGCACAATATATCCAAAGAATTGCTCATCTAACCCTCTCGCAGAAACATCATGCACCCATCGATTAAATTGCCGACAATTCCCACGCTACCGTTCCTCGAATCCAACAGTCACTTCGCCTCCCGAGAAGGTCGTAGTAGTCTGTCTACCGGTTCCAAAATCAATGTAGAGATTATCTGCATTGCTACTGCCAGGGGAAACGGTCTCTCCGTTTACAACCGCGGTCGCTTCAGTAAAGGTAATTGTTCCAAAGTTGGCGAATGGTACTAAACCCCCGTTGGAGGAAAAGTCTTCAACGATCCACTGCGATGAGTTAGCAACAAGTCTTTTAATTCAACAAAGAATAAAAACGGGGAGTATGTGTGAAACACATTTCGAGAATGCCACAATTGCAAGGTCAAGAGGAGGAGATGGGGGATACGGAAAAGGGGTTAATCACCTCGGCGTCTTGACCGCACAGGTTCCCATCCCTGTCACTAGTGAAAGTATGGGATGCCGACTGGCCACTGCTTGTATTCTCAAGCGTCGCAACCCCGCCGTTAAAGCCATTCCTCGTGACCGCGACCGTGATAACATCTCCAGCGCCTACACTGATGCCAGAGTATGCGATCGAGGCCGCAGGTATATATTCATACCACGCCTCGTAGGTGACTATCCCATGGTGGATGCACCAGAAGACGCCGGTCTGGATCAGACTGCTCGTACACGTATCGCCATCGATTCCTACCCAGGCAGCACCGCAATACTGTGAGTAACGAAACGGATCGATTAGTATAACTGGACTTCCTCTATCTTGACTTTGACGCGGTGGTGTTCTAGAGGTTGGAGAGGGGTGTGTGTGTGAGGAGGGGATTTGAATGACAAACCTGATCGTTGGAATTACCTCTAGGAGGCAGAATGGGTTTAGGAACGGTGAACGATCCCTGAACCGCAGTAACGCTATCCCTGGCGGAGCTGACAACGGCACCAGCCCAGTCTAGATGGCGAAAAAATCAGTCAGCAGCTGTTTCAAAAATATCTCAACAGTAAAACGAAGAGGAACCCAAGTCCTGAAAATCTATGCATTTCGTATGACAGGATTTCCGGTCCAGTGGTGTAAACTCTAGAGCTGGAAATACGTACTAGTAGACTTGCTTTCAAACAATGCATCCTCCGTAATAGTATCATTGCGAATACAAATCGCCGGCCCAGCTTTCTTTAAAACCCCATTCCCCCCTCCAGCAGCCAGGCGAGCAGACAGCGGTGAAGCCAGAGCGGCATTCGGCATCAGAAGCAGAATGACACTTACGATTGAAGTGAGGAACATCATCGTGAATGATTGAGACGACCGAGCGTAGTTGAGTAACGGTATAGGTAGAAAAGGCTGGATGTTGATACTGTCACGGTTAAGTCAACCAGAAAGCAAAAGCAACAGATAGATAGATATGTCGGGTCAAGTGTGAGGGAAGATGGATTGGGGAACGGCCTTTCTTATACTACATAGGTAGCTAACTCACACATACCTAGCTAGCAAAATCTTCAGTGCACATGTAACTCACGCTATTCGTAGTCCTTGTACTCTCAACGTGTGAATTTAGGGGAATATATCTCGTGACCTATACAAACGATACAGCTATGCTGTTTCAAACCAAGTGTGAAGCTGTATCTATTATCTGCATCTGCCTACCATTGAATATATAAAAAGGAATTACGCGGAACCTAATTGTGGCTTTATTTATCTCTTGACAACTGCCCTGTATATATATATTTCCTCGATACCTAACTACATAGGCTCCTTAACGGATTTCTCGAACTTGAATGTAGAGCCGTTACGGATAGCTAGAATAGGAATGAATATATGACTTAGTTCCCGCGTAAGTAACTTTTGAATAAACTCTCTTTAACGTGTAACTGATTTTAGCATCATAGCTGCTGCTCAGTTAATCTCACTCGCAGTGCATGTTCGTCCCGCCTGAACCCTATTCTAGCTAAGTAAGATGTACGTTTCCTAATAGGAATACACGTACGTACGTATCTCTCATCCAGCCCAGCCAGTCCCTTACTAATATGTTATCTACCTTATTATCCGGATGTATTCACGTGTATAGTCATATGACCTTGCGATACCTCTGCGCCTATCATCCACTCTAGATATCACATCATAACACCAACCACCAAACCTAAACTCAAGTCTTACCAAAGCATACCAGCCAGCTAGTGAAAAGCGCTCACCCCTGTGATACCAACACTACCTCCTTTTTACTTTCCTCTTTTCTCTTTTCTCTTTTCTCTTTTCCTTTCTAGCACTTTTAGTTAGTCATTGTAATAGATTACTAGTAAATCCAAAATCCCCTATATACTATCTATACCTTATCTAAGAAAAAAGTCTAGAATCTAGCTAGAGTTACACTAACTTTAAAACACGAACTGTAACCTGCAACCTGTAACGTGTAAAGTATAAACTGTAAAGTGTAACGTGCTACTCTTATCTAGTAGTACTTATCAAGCGTAACAGTCGGATCCGGATTCCGGAGTAGTAAGTTACGTGTAAAGTAGTACACGAGTACATAGGTAGATAGGCATGCTGCTTTTGTATTTAGTATACCGGAATGCATAGCATAGAATAAAGTGGAATGGAATGTGGTACATAGCTTATATGTACGATTTATTTTCACGGACATGTTGATAATCGATTGAGCGGTGGGGAAATAGGAGGGGGGCTGGGTTGAATTAGTTTCCTTTCTAGAGAGGGGTGATGGAGTGTAGAGTTGGTAGAGAGGACTTCAAGTGGTTTTAATTTCATTTATTCATTATTCGTTAATCACCCATATCTATATCCCATATCCCATGACCAATTACCCATTACCCATTACCCATTATCTCATCCCAAGCCCGGCCCCTTCAAGCCTCCCACTTCCCCACCCCCTCTTCCGATCCCAATCCCAAGTAACAAGCAAGCCTGAATTGACATAAAGCATGCTCATCACCAACACCACAATAGCTAATACCCAAATCCCAAAATCGCTAATCAACCCACCATTCCTCCTCACCCGATCTATCTCCCCCTTCTCTTTTCCCTTGCCCTCCACCCCTCCCATTCCAGTCCACGGAATTACCATCCCCAAATCCCTCAAGATCTGCTCCGTCGTAACCTTGGCTCCCGCAAGCACAATTGGGACCCCCGTCCCAGGATGCGTACTAGCCCCCACGAAATAACACCCCTTTAACCCCCTAGCCCTTGTGCTTGGCCGGAAAGCCAAGACGTTGAAGAAAGAGTGACTCAAGCCTAGAATCGACCCTTTGTCGAGGTTAAATGTATCTTCCCATGTGATCGGATCATTGACAATTTCGTGCGTGATGAGGGGCGCGAGAGCATCGCAATGGGTGCGTGATTGAATGACGGATAGGACCGAGGCGCGCGTTGAGGCGATTAGGGCGGGCCAGTTGAGTTCTTCTTTGGGCAGACCTTTGGAAGAGGAGGTGGTGGTGGAGGACGAGGAGTTTAAGAGATGTCCGACGGGGACCAATACAACGATGGAATCCTTGCCCTCTGGCGCAGCGCTTGGATCGACACGCGATGGTACGTTGACGTAGAAACTTGGCTCTCGCGGTATACTCTGCCGGTCGAAAATAGCATCAAACGATTCCCGATACTCGTCTGCGAGGAAAATGTTATGCGTGCTTAGCTCTGGGACTTTTCGGGATAGAGACCAGTAGAAGGATATACTGCTGCAAGAGCCCTGGCGTGTTTGGAGAGAGCGAGAATGGGGTGTTGGCGCGAGGAGGTTGTTGTACGCGTAGACCAGGTCGGCATTGATTATTACGACGTCTGCTGTGAGAGTATCCCCGGCTTCTGTGAGGACTCCGGTTGCTGTTTTCCCATCCGGAGACGTGAGAATGCGGGAGACTGGCGTGCTGAGCCGGATGTCAACTCCTAGGCGCTCGCATATCCGGACGAGAGCTGAGACAACGGCGTGGAAGCCACCAACCGGATACCAAATGCCCTCTGCGAGCTCCGTATATTGAAGCAGCGAATATGTGCCTGGAGCATCAAACGGTGACATGCCCATATACATACTCCCAAACGTAAAGACTCTTCTCAACCTCTCCGTGAAAAAGTACTTGCTTGCCCTCGAGTAGATACTCTCAAACGGATGCAGGGCAAACAGATGTCTAAGAAAGCTTGGTCTGAGGAGATTAAAGATCGAGGTGAAGTTTTTGTGTAAAACCTCTCTCACACTAATCTCATAATGCCTATGTGCCTCCGCAAGCCAAGACAAATACCGTTCGAACCCATCCTTCCCCTCCCATTTTTCAATCTCACGCTTCATAACCGCCGTATCGCTGCTCAACTCAAACTTCTCCCCGTCCCCGAACCACATATTATAATTCGGATCGCATTTTAGAAGCTCAACACCTTCTGCGGAAAGAGAGGTATTGAGGTCCGCGAAGGTTTCGGCGAAGAGGCCGGGGAGGAGGAGAAGGGATGGGCCCTGGTCGAAGCGGTATCCTCCGTGGGTGAGGAGACTGCAACGGCCGCCGGTGAAGGAATTCTTTTCCAGGACTGTTACGGAGAAACCGGCAGATGCGAGGCGTGCTGCTGTTGCTATGCCGCCTACTCCTGCTCCTGTACCATGATATCTTGTTAATAGCTATTGGGTAGAGAGTAAGAATGCGGGGTATTGGAGCTTACCAACGACAATTGCTGTCTTTTGCTTGGGGTTTGAAGCCATTGTAAGCAGGTGTTGAGTTTACAGCTTGCTGCGTGTAGCAGAAGTGTATGTCTGACCTTTCACATGTTGGGCTGGTGGTGTGTTGTTGTGAATGTCTAATGCAATTCGGAGATAGGTCTTGTGTCGCCAATTAAATCATGACGTCGGAGACTTCGGCATTCGGACCCCCTGAAGCTTTAGCGAGTATACAGCACAGCACAGTATTGTACCACTTGGGTACTCTGTAGGTACGTACACGCTTCAACACTCATGGGGACAGAGAAAGCGGCACTCACCATGACAGGCTTCAGTGTGCCACTCAAAGTAACACCCGTGCTTCTTCTACTTCTTCTTTTCTTCTGTCTTGGCTGGTAGTACAAGTCACACCGGATTTATCTACCTCTCAGCCAACAACAACTTCTATCATATCTTCACTTCTGGTACCACTTGTCTTTATTAGCTCTAACAATAGTAAATATGACTGTATCATTGATCTTTCTACTGTCGCACATTCTGTACTATGGTATCTAATCTGCCAAATCTATTCTATCTTATTCTACCCCTTTCCATCCCAACCTATCCTAACCCTCCCTCAACGCCCTCCAAGCAACCAACGCCCTCCTTCCAATCGGCACCGTCGCCCGTCCCTGCACAACCCTATACTTGCGCTTCTTCAACACCCTCCCTATCTCCATATAACTCTCAACCGCAACCCTCATCGGCGCCCTCGCATCCCTAGGTAACCCCCTCATGGCCGGCCCACACTCTCCATAAACCCCAAACGCCTTCGCCAGTAACCTATTCCTCAGCCTCGCAACCTCAAACAACTCGGGTTTGTCAAGTACATCTTGTGTTGTGAGGCCTTCGGCTGAAAGCCAGGAATGAGGAATGTAGACACGTCCGAGTCCAGCATCAACCGAAATGTCGCGCGCGATATTCACGTATTGAAGCGCGATACCCATGCGGGCGCCAGAGCGGATCAGGTGGTCTCTTTTTTTGGTCGAGGTAGAGGTAGGAGATGTAGTGTGGACGAATACGAGCTCTAATATTAATTCGGCTACAGTTCCAGCTACATAGGCAGCGTAGTTTTCAAGGTCGTGTTCTGTTTGAATTGGGGAAATGGTGGACGTGAATTTCAGGTCTGTTTTGAAGCCTTCAAGCAGGTCGTAGAGGGGTTTGTAGGGGAGAATGTATGTAGGGAGGAGGCGAAGGGCAGAGTGCGCCGAGGTGGGGAAGGTAGATGTTATGTAGTTGTTAAGGGATGGCTCTTTGGAGATTCTGTGGGCTTCTTTGGAGGCATATGCTAGATCGAGGTAGTGGGTGAGCTTCCAAATCCACTCTCTGGCTGTGGATTCGGTGTCGGCGTTGTCAACAAGATCATCTGCGACTCGGCAGAAAGAGTAGCTAATTTGTATTAATGGATGCTTGAAAAGTTTACACGTTCACTTACAGAAGTATCAAATCAATCCGAAGACGGCCAGAAAAGGTTGAGCTGGCCAGGTAGAAGCTTCTGCTTTTCTTCTGCAGCCGTGTGACTGCTTCTCTGAGGCCCTCAACTCTTTCCCCATCATACACTGCCGGGTCCGTAAAAAGCGCCTGCATCAACATGACTGGCGATGGCAATTCCGGAACCTTTGGAAACAAATCCGGGAATGTCAAAAGAATTGCCACGGCATGATCAAATGCCACCAAGCCAAATACAACCAGGGTATTCGTAGCCAGAAAGAAGATGGCCTCTTCAATCTCGAGACCATCCCAAAGATGTACTCCAACTTTTGTGCCCGACGAAATTGCCCACGTCCCTCTTTTCAATGCTAATGTGTCAACAATCCAGAGGTAGACGGTGGAAATAGCAATTGGAACCACAGTACTGCTGTACGGAAGTTTGACGAGGAATTGGGACGAAAGTGACCAGAGGAGAAGCAGGAACGGTGCAGCCCAAATTACTATCAGGCCTAAATATGTTCCTTCCCCTCCTCGCCGTATCTGGAATCCACCGATCACAATCAAAGCTGCCAAAATCGCTTGGCCAGCCCTGTGCCAGGGACTAGTTGTGTTTCGGGCAACGAGGTACTTTGAATGAAGCAGTGGCTTGCTCAGAAAGAAGTAGATCAAGGACGTGTTGTAAGTCTGAATAACGAAGAACAACAGCTCCTCGGCGGGTATTGAAAACAATCGCGGGCCAATGATCACACTGGGAGGATAGGTCCATATTCTGCGCCGAATGAGATAGGAATCCCAGGGTATGGTAGAAACGACGGCAGTTGTGATGAGGAAGAAGACCTTGTATACATCTAAGCGTGTGAAGAAAGGCCGGTAGATATAGGTCAATGCAATGGCTGGTGGGATCGTATACTTGAGATGTCTACGGTATGGTAATCTTACTATTAGGAAATCTTGAACCTTTTCAAATGGATTCTGGGCTGGGACGACTTACACGAGCGCGTACTCAAACCCCATTCTTGTATGGATGCTAGGGGAAGTCAACACGGCGCGATTACGATCATTACATGATAGTTGGAAATAGGTACAGTCCAGTCCGGTAGGAACTGAGAGCTTTTATTACAGTGGCGTGCGGAGGGAGTGAGACTCCGTGATCCTGAGTGAGTGTTCCTGCATGTCGATTGGAAGCAGCATTCACACGTACTCCGTTACACCTAGATGGCCTTTGCACTTGGACGATGGGGAAATCGAGAAATCGAGAAATCGAGATTCGCGTGTGAGTGGATGTGTGACGTAATGCACGGACCATCGATGCACGGACTATTTATCCCTGTATAGTCGACGGGTAGACGGGACAGACAGGGGTAGGTGCAGGGGAGTGAGTTACACTATCTTCCCAATCTGAACTCTCTTGATGTCATGATATACTGTACTGTACTGTACTGTACCTAACATTTAGTCACTTGAACCTTGCAAGCATCATCTTGCTTTGCCTGGAATGAACTCTTGCCATGACCATGCTCTAGACTACGTTTCTATCGTCGCCCTCCAGGAGAGTGTTGTTAACAACACCACCGCATTTTGAGCCTCCTCCTGCTGCATTCACCTTCGTAGTCCCGTATGTCATCTCCCATTACCTGTGTCTGCATAGTTACAAGCATCATTTGCATCCATACACGGTCCATTACCAGTCCACCATGTTAAGTCTACAACAATAACAATATCTGCGCCTTCCCTACGAACTCATGAGTCATGACGCGTGTCAATGAGAAGCAGAACAGTTCTCAAAGTCCTCATCCATATCTACATGGCAACTTTGCTCCAATCCACCGGGTCCAACCTCTCACTCGTTGCTCCTACTCCGGTACCATCCCAGACGAGCTTGCTGGCGGCGAATACGTGAGGAATGGAGGGAATCCAGTCACGCATGGGGATTTAGGAAGAGATTTTCATTGGTTTGATGGGGACGGCATGCTGAGTGGTGTTGCCTTTCGCCGGCGAGATGGACACCTTCAGCCAGAATTCGTGAATCAATACATACTGACAGATACCTACATCTCGACTTCTACCACTCCCTCACTTCGACTACCCATGCTTCCAAGTATCGCCACACTTGTGAACCCGGCTTCCACTCTGCTCAACATTATCCTCCGCATATTTCGAACGCTCCTCCTGCTGATACTTTCGAATCTACCAGGCTCCCAATTCACAATCAAGAAAATTAGTGTTGCCAATACTGGGATTCTTTACCATGACGGCAGAGCTTTGGCAACGTGCGAAAGCGGACCTCCAATGCGAGTATCCCTTCCTGGCTTGGAAACAATTGGCTGGTTTGATGGGACGAAAGCAGAAGGAGAACCGGCAGAGGAGGGTGTAGCAGGAAAGAAATTTGGAGGGGAAGGTATTCTAAGCTTCATGAAGGAATGGACAACGGCCCACCCTCGAGTCGATCCCATTACCAAAGATCTCATTCTTTTCCATTCAACATTTATCGCACCGTTTGTATATTATTCGATTATACCCAGCACGCAATATACCTCAGTTGCAGCGCCTCGACTCATTAATTCTGCCGTTCCTGGAATCAAGTCCGCCAAGATGATGCATGATTTTGGCGTTTCCCTTACACACACTGTTATTATGGACCTTCCGTTATCACTTGACCCTCGAAATCTCGCCCGAAATAAGCCAGCGGTGGAATACGATCCATCTGGACGTTCGAGGTTTGGCGTATTTCCAAGATGGAACCCCGAAGCTATCAAATGGTTTGAGACGAATCCCTGTTGCATCTTTCACACTGCCAATACCTGGGATGAGGAAGAATTCAATAAACACACTGGCAAAATAGAGACAGCAGCAGTAAACATGCTTGCTTGTCGATTGACAAGCTCGTCACTGGTCTACAGCGCTGGAGATATCGCTGCACCAATCCCTAAAGCAGTTGCAAATCCAGAATATCCGCCCGAAGAGGAGCAATGCCGGCTCTACTACTACCGATTTTCTCTCACCAAACCCGCAAACATCATAACTCACCAATTCGCACTCACAGCCATTCCCTTTGAATTTCCCTCCCTCCGCGACGACTCCTCCATGAGTACCGCACGCTACATCTACGGCTGTTCCGTATCCGACAGCTCTTTCGGGGCAGCTCTCGGTCGCGCGGTCAAAATCGATTCACTTGTAAAAGTAGACGTCCAAGCCTTACTTTCCAACGCCCAAACGAATCCTCCTACACCAATTTCAGGCTGTGTCGATACGCGCACGGTGTCTGAGATTATAGCCTCGGATGATTCGAACGACCCAATCAAGATCTTCAAAATGCCTCGTGGCTTCTACGCGCAGGAACCGCGATTCGTGCCGAGGAAGGATGAGGGGAGCGAGGATGATGGCTGGGTGCTGAGTTATGTTTTTGATGAGAGTCAGCTTGACGAAAATGGCAACGCGGGACCGGGAGCTCATAGCGAATTATGGGTTATTGAGGCAAAGGAAATGAAAGAGGTTGTTTGTCGTGTTAAGCTTCCCCAGAGAGTGCCGTATGGATTGCATGGCAATTGGTTTTCCGAAGCCGATGTCTTGGGTCAAAGGGGTGTGGAGTCGATTCGCACGCTACCTTCTGTCAGGTCCAAGACGCTTGGAAAGGTGGGAGAGAGTGTCGGGATGGATGTGTGGATGGCGATTAGGGAGTGGGTGCTTGATGTCATTGGGTGAGATGACATATTAGTATCATAGTGATAGATAGGCGGTTGGGAAAAGGGTTGTGTATATTCATATACCCTCTTTGCATCTTCCGGCGTTAATTCTTGCACAAATACGTGCACATCAGCTGTGTGACCTAAGTTGTGGATTGATAAAGCACGCAATGGATCGGATTGGCAACACAGCTAGTTCGCCTAATGCGCACGTTTGGAGGATATCGTAGAATACAAGCTGTATATAGTATAGTGCTTAGTAATCTACCCAACCCACCTTATATTTCACATGGAATTAATTACCTATTCTTAAAGAGATGCACGTTCTTTGCCATACGTGCGGAAGAACTTTTTTGTATAGCTAGGTTTATATATCTAAAGACTATTTGACTTTACGGTAATTGGCAAGCTTAACGTATATACCCCCTCTTGGATAAATGGTAAGTAAGACGTGCGTAACTCAGGGTAGGTTCTATTGAATCAACTATAGGCTCCTTCAGAGCAATATGCTACAGTGCAGGTCAAAAGGATATAAGAAGTACCTATCTATATACAAGAATCCAAAGCAAACGAGAAATCCATATTCTAATGCATGAATGCATGCTACCAAGCCACCTACCTATATACTAATATCCAGCGTAGCCGACAACCGCAAATCCCTACTGCTAGCCCCAACCGTGAAGTTATACGTCCCAGGCGCCACAGCCCATTCCTGGGCCGCGACATCCCAATAACTCAAATCCCTCCTCCGCAGCGCAAAGCTCACCGCTTCATCATCCCCAGCCCCGACGAGCACTCTTTCGAATCCCCGCAGTTGGCGTACGGGCTGCGCGGCCGCGGCGGGGAACGAGACGTATAGCTGTGCGACTTCGTGGCCGTCGATGCTGCCCGTGTTGGAGATGAGCGCCGTCACGTTCACGATGTCGGTCCAGAGATCCTCGCGGCCGCCGACGCTGAGTGTGCCTGTGGCGTAGGTGGAGTTGAGCGCGGCGGTCTGAGTCACGGTGATGTCGGAGTAGGAAAAGGTGGTGTACGAGAGGCCGAAGCCGAATTCGAAACGGGGGGTCACGTTGTAGGAGTCAAAGTACTTGTAGTCGATGTAATTACCTTCGGTGAACTCGCACACTTCCGTGAGGCAGATCCCTACATTGTAGTCTGATTCGTTCTTGGCGATGGTATATGCGAGGCGGCCGGAGGGGTTGACGTCGCCGTAGAGAACGTCGGCAATCTGTAATGTGATGGTTAGTTTTGAGAATTAACTTGGAGGTGTTGGTTGATTGAAACGTACGCTGTATCCGGAATTTTGCCCAAGCAGACCTCCGTATACAACAGCAGTGACGTTCTCGTTCTCGATCCAAGCGTCCATCAGTCGAGCCCCGACGGTATTCAGGACTACCATGGTGTTGTTGCACTCACTTGCAATCGAGATGACCAAGTCATCTTGATCGGTATTGTAAAGCTCGGTGCGGTCTAATCCCTCGCCCGAATAGGCGTTTAGGAATACGATGCAGACTTCCATATCAGTGGCATAAGAAGTGAAAGAAACCGCCGAGTTGGTTCCACTTCCAAATCCGGTTGACTTGGAAGAAGAGCCTCCCATGCTACCCATCCCCCCCGAACTGCTCGCATACCCCGTATCGTTCATGATCCAGCGGAAAACCGTCCCGTCATCGATTGCTCGGAGGAGAAGCGCGTCGTGGGGTGTAACGAGATAAGGGAACGTCGATGTTCCACTGCCTGAGCCGCCAGCAAGATGTCCTTGATATGTAGAATCAGTCCCAGAAACACTGAAACCGATTCCGGGACCACCCATCACCGGTCCTGCATTTGCTCCAAAGATCGCGAGGGACTTGGGCTTGGAGAGCGGTAGGGCGTTGTTAACATTCTTCAGCAGAGAAAGAGACGCGGACCCAACCTGGCGGATAATCGCGCTATGGTTTGCACGCACGTCGACGTAGTCGGTCGCGTATGAGAGATTAGGTTGCAAACCATTGTCCAGATCAGCATAATAGTAGGGGATGACATTTCGGATGGCCATATCATCCAGTCTTGCCTTGGTGAAGGAGCCATTCGTGATACCCGCGACAAGAGTATCCGTCCACAATGAACTGGATCCGTAGTCCTCGCCTCCGTTGGCAGAACCGAAAGCTGTAAACTGGCCATCCGCGTCGGGGAAGACGATGCCGGGAAAGCCGAGCTCGGTTTTGAGGATGGTGTTGAGGAGATAGGAATTCTCGCATGCTTGCGTGCCATTTACCCGGCTCATGGCACACATCATGCCCGCCATCCCGCTCTTGACCGCATCGTAGAATGGGAAGAGGTATGTCTCGTGGAGAGTTTTGTCATCTGCGTTAGAAGTGTACGTGGTAGTTCCCGACTGCAGTGAGCTTCGGTTGGTTTCCTGCTCATTGAGAAGAAAGTGCTACAGCTAATTAGTAGAAGATGTGTGGGAAGTAGAGTGTCAAATTACCTTTCCTCCCGGAACCACGCCAGCAGTCAAAAAACCTGCCGTTGCTAGACCTACCATTTGCCCATTCAAATACACATCCTGACCCATGGTCTCGACTAATCTGCCACCCCAAGGAGTTCTCCCTAGAGGTCCAGACGTAGGCCCATTGACAACCTGGATGTGTTAGTGGTATCATGAGTAAGCGAGCATAGTTCGTACCTGGAATCCCTTTCCGTACATTTCAGCACCCACAGCTTCCATTTGTAACGTCCATAAGTTTCTGTCCCAAGTCTGCACAAGGGCCGAAGTTTCGGAGAAACCAGAAGCATCATAGTAACTGATAACTCCTTGATCACCATCTTTGAATTGCAATGCAGTCCAGTTGACAGATGCAACATCAGATCCAGTGATAAGCTCAACCTTCTCGGTATTGTTAAGCTGTGCTACGAGAGCCTGAGCTTTCGCATAGGCGGCGTTCCATTTTGCATCAAGGGTCACTGAAACGATTAGTGACGATATTACCATATAGAGATGTTGAAGTTACCAGTATCCGAAGACAAGAGACCGAGGGTTGTAGAGTTAGTTGCAGTGGCATTAGAGTAAGTTGCTCCTGATACGAGAGGACCGAACAAAGCAAGTGCGACAGTAAGAAGTGACATTCCACGAGGGGAAGAAATGAATGACTGCATCTTGAATAACTTGGGCTCTGAAAGAGAGAGAGAACTCAGTTAGGATGAAGATGAGAGGGAAGATATTAGATGCATCACTACAGAATATATAGAGAATACTCATCAATTAAGAGTTCCTCTATTGGAAACTTGTGCCTCCATTATGTCTGTATTCGCCATAAGTACTCGTGGTAAGCTCCACGTCGGAAATTGTAACGGGGATTCTAAGCTCGTAGTTAGATGCCGCGCGTTATAAACTGGCAATAGAAACCGTGCAATGAAGAAAAAGAAGACCCTCTCGCAGCGTTGGGACGGGCCGATAACTTTTAAAGTTCTTCGCGGCCGTCTCCACTAAAGGTCGCTAGATCAAGACATGGTACAGGGTGTTATCACCAAATCTGCATATCAAGGATTATACGACTTACAAGACTTATATGGACTCCGGCTCTCAGAAACATTCTTATTCTAGTATATAAACTCGTTTTTAGCGTAAATAATACATAAACAATTATATTTAAGGATCTATCTAGCCAATCAGGACCTTATTTTAGCTATGTCACAATCCTTGAAATGCAGATTTGGTGAAAACACCCTATAGATAGCTATCTAGATATGCGCCTGAAAAATATTAGAGTTAACGTATAATATGACTGCAACCCTTTTAAATGTAGGTAATCTATTCTTCACATCTCGTGATTTTGTGGGGGCGTCCGCGAAGAACTGTAGTCGGGATCTTCCCGAGAAGATCGTACCAAGGGAAATACTAAAGTCAAGCCACATTCAACGGCGGCCCATATCCATAGAACCTTAAAAGAGCCTCATACTGTAAGACAGTAAGAGATTCCTGCCGCGTGATCACAAGTTCGTCTGGTTTTCGCCGTCCGTCGATACTTCGTACTTGGAAGTAGCTTTACTGTTTGGCACTGTATTGCAAACCAAGAGTGGTGCTCGTCGTCAGCATAAGGTGGATCAGTATAATGATAAGCCTTAGTCTTCTTCCCACAGGCAGATCTGCAATAATATACCGAAAGAAACCCGGGTATTCCTGTTTATACTTCGAAGTAAGTGATGCATGAAATAATATCGTCCGTGCTATTTAAAATGTTCTCGGAATGCCGGAGAAATCCCGAGAAAATATATTAGATCGTCCAAGACCTCCCTGAAGTAGAGTAATCAGCCTCTCCTAGAGACGTAAGCAGTACGGGGTATTGCGCGGCTTAAGAGCAAGGTTAAGATCTAAGCTACGGAGGTACCGGTACTGTACTATTGTAATGATAGGACCTGAGGTGTAGTCTGATTGTTACGCCACACCCGAACGATCCCGGATGCGGCTGAAACTCGCACACGGGCGGTGGATACAGAGTACGGTTTAATCGGTGTCAGAATTACACTTCACTACTTAGGTACCTCACGGGATTATGCCAGGATCCTTTGACTATAATATGATCGTCATATCACGTGACCATAAATTTGCTATTGACCTAGTGGACCTTTATACAGGGGAAATACGTTTCTAAATATTAATCAACATACTTATAATTAAATAGCAGGTTTTTATCATAGATTAGCTAGTTGTAAGCTTGCTAAGGCTATCTTAGGTAGTATTACTCCTCCGCTTTAAATATATATGCTTTTATATCTTAGGTAATCTCAAACGACAGATAGTGCAGCTGACAATCCTGTTATAGATAATTCGTCAACGAACTGCGCACAACTACCTACGACTGTCTCAAACGCTAAAATAGGTTAGAGTCCAAATTGCCTCTAGCCTCTCTATCGTTACAGGGAACCAAAGTAGACACCACACCCAAGGCACAACAGGGACCCCCACCTTAGATGGCATATAAATCCAAGTTCTTAATTAGCTACAGCGGATCACTCCAGTCTAAATTTGATTTCTGACCCTTGACATAATGTAATCCAGGCTAACACACGTCCTTGATTTATACTTGAAGCTAGAGCAGTCTAAATTGTAGCACTACAATTCGGTCTGCTGTAGGTTAAAGTAAACAGATTCAGTATAGGAGAATTTGGACCGCACTGACTTTGAATACTCTGAAAATCGCGGAGCCAATGGAGATGAAACATTATGTCTTGGATATCGGTGTTTGGCCTAGATTCGACATCATACATGGACCACCCTCCGCACATCAAACACCTTCTTCCCATCCCTCTCCCCACTTTTTTCTTCCCTACTCCCAGGGAGCACATATCCCCTCTGGTTACTTAAGACTTTGATTCCATTCCTCTCAAACTGTGTCGTAAAATGAGTATGTCCAAATACCCACACCTTCACCTTATCCCAACTTGCGTCCCCGAGTAGGTCAGTCGCAAACGCAGAACTCCATGGGTTGCTTACATCCTTCGGGCTCGACGTCTCTTGCATCGAAGGCGCATGGTGCGTGACAACAAGTATGTTCCTAACCCGCTCACCCTTCGCTATTGATTTATTCTGCCGCTGAATCTCTAGGGCTTGATGGCGTAACCACGTGAGATCAGCCTCGTGGGAAGCATTGTGATCATCAACAGTCCATCCCTCAATCTTCTCGAAATCCTTAACTTTCATTCGAACCATTTCCCTGGCATCCTCAGACACTCTGGACCAAAGCGTACATCCCAGAATCGTGATATTGGAATTTGGGATGTTGAAATGCTTTTGATGCAGCAATACTAACTTTCCATTCAAGACTGCCTCACTCTCTAGTTTTTGCGCCCTTTCTAGTCCCGCAAGAAATGAGAGACCGTAAAACTCATGGTTTCCAAGGATGAGGAAGACGTGTTCGAATTGTGCAGCCTGTTTGGCAAGGAATGCCAGGTACGACTCGTAGTCGATGAGACGACCAATATCACCTGCAAGAATGAGGTATGGCGCTGACGGTGGAATCACGAAAGAGGAGTATTGCTGGCCGACTTCCAGGTGTAGGTCAGATAAGATTTGGAAGGCTAAGGGGGAGGGTCTGCTGAAGAACGAGCGGATCTTGTTCATGACAGGAGATTCTGAGTCTGGCGTGTTTGGAAATGTCTGTGCCAAGAAGTACAAAAATGATGAAGACTTCGGCCTATATATGAATCTTTGTCTTGCCGCCACGCTTCAGGGAAAGCTTTGGGTTGAAGGGTGGATGAATAAGGTTATTGTAGGTACGTGCTGCAGCGCCACAGATCCCCTGGGCATGATCCAGCTGACTTTAGGCTTGGCGGGCTGCTAAAGACTCGGCTCAGGTTAGAGTAGCGACTGCTCAGGTCCAAAGACGGAAACAGAATTTGGTGGGCGCATTTGTCGTCTGAGATTATAGTGGTAATTTTATAACCTTGGTAAAGTATACTATACCTAGACGTAAGAGTGGTATAGTGTCTCGAGGTGCTATGTATTAAATATAGAGGTAGCTATAAGCGCTGCATAGCTAACTTCATAAGAGAAGCCCATGGACGCAAAAACAAAGCCCTTATTAAAATAGATACCTTACTTGGAGTATCTTCAGCATCCCAACCCCCAGCGGATCAAGTGCCGAAATATCTCAAATCAACCCGATCCAAGCAGCCGAGCGAGAAAGAATCAAGATATAAGGCGAGATGGGCCCGAATTATATCTCAAGCCCAGAGCTCCTACTTCTAAATGCAAAGGAAAGAAAATCGTTAAACATCGCCCGGCGACATACCACTACCCTAACGCAAGCCAACAGCAAACACCATAATCTCCACTACCAACAGACATCCCCAACTATTCCTCACTTTCGCACCTGCTCCAGATACGCCCGCAGTCGACTTCGCAGTGCTCGTTGCAACAACACCATTACCCGCTTTACTCGCGGTAGCCTCCCCTGAAACGCCGGCCTCGGGATGACTGTGACTGTGACTACCGATATCCATCGACGACGTCCCGCCCACGACATGGCCAGCCGGATCCTGCGGAATCGGCATAACGGTGACCGCCGAGCTGAGCACTACGAGCGACGGCGAGGGCGGAGGTAGGGGTGGGGTGTGTGGAGGCGGGAACGATGCATATGGCGGTTCGTGCGGCGGGGGCGAATGCGTAAAAGGGGATATTTCGCTATGAGAAGACGATGTCTGTTCCGGGCTTGAAGCGGAAGAGGTAAGCGAAGAGTCTGGCGGGGACTGGAAAGTTGGAGCGGGCGGTGAAGGCTGTGGGACGGGGGGCTGAGATATGCTTGATTGGGGTTCGGAAGGGGGTGTTTGCGGTGCTGGCCGCGGGGGTCCCCATATGGAAAATGGAATTGGCTTGGTGTTTCCAAAGTCGTTGCCGTCGCCGCCTATACCGTTCCCAAAGCCTCCTCCTCCAGATCCAACCCCGTCAGGCCCACCGCGCTCATCGATATTGTTCGCGTTGCCATTGACGCTGATAGCGAGGAGGATGGCTGCGAGGAAAGTAGCGGCGAGCATTTTAACAGGTATGACTACGGTTATCGAGAGATAGAGAAACGGAAAGGGGGTACGAATGAATGTATGAGGTCGGTTTGGATGCGAGAAGAAGTGGGAAAGGGCTGGGCGATGCGCATATATCAATCCTCGCTGCACTGCACTTCGATGCATCCCCACGTTGGTAACCGGCGGATACAAGAACTAATTAGTATAAACTAGAGGTTAAAGTATAGTATTGCGGTCCTTCGTTATTTTTCCTTTTTGGAAGCGTGTTTCATATTTAGCTGCGAGTGCTTGTAGGCAATATATTGTGCCTGCGAGGTATTCATCCAAGCCAATAGTGTGTGGAGACAGCAGCATAGTTTCTGTCACCACTTCACCTGCTACATCAAGCAATAGCTTCTAGTTCGAGATGTTCAGCGCCTTCTTCTTCTCCTTCCCTCCGATTGAAGCGAGGGAACGGTTTGTAGAATTATCATTTATGCCATCTAACCTGGGGTTCTACAGTAGCACATGTCCAACGCAAGCCAATACGTTCAAACCGAAATTCCAATCACGTTCTTCGGTACGTAAAGCTCATCAATACTCCTCACCTCGTCCGCCGACAGTTTAAACTCCAGCGCCGCCACAGCCTCATGCACCCTCTCAACCTTACTCATGCCAATAATGGGCGCCGTCATAAACGGTTTGCTCAAACTCCACGCCGTCGCCACAACTGCCATACTCGTCCCCCTCTCCGTGGCGATCTGCTCGATCTTGCGATTAATCTTCTCATCCGCCTCCGTCCACGCATGTCCCAGGAACTTCCCACCCATTGAACCGCCCCTCTCGCTCTCCAGCGTCTTGTCGTGCGGCCGCGCCAGGTATCCCATCGCCAGCGGACTCCAGGGAATCATACCCATGCCGAATTTCTTCAGCGCCGGGACCATCTCCCGCTCCTCCTCCCTGTACGTCGCGTTGTGCAGGTTCTGCATCGAGATGAACTCGGTCCAGCCGTGCAAGCGCGCCGTATATTGCATCTCGAGCAGCTGGTGCGCCCACATGGAACTAGCGCCGATATACCTGACCTTTCCGCTCTCCACGATGTCGTGCAGGGCTTTCATGGTCTCCTTGACCGGCGTGCTGGGATCGAAACGGTGGATCTGCAGGAGATCGATATACTCCAGGTCCAGGCGTTTCAAGCTGGCGTCCACGGAATCGAAGATGTGTTTCCGGCTCAGGCCGTACGCGTTCACGTAGCCGTTGTTATCCCTCTGCTCGACACTCATGCTCATGGGATCCTCAAACACGCCGTTCTCGATATGGCCGACGGGGGCCCAGAGCTTGGTGGCGATGACGAGGTTATCGCGGCGCCAGTTGTATTTCTTGATGGCTTTGCCGAGGATGATTTCCGAGACGCCGTTGGAGTAGCCGTTGGCGGTGTCGAAGAAGTTTATGCCGGCTTTGTAGGACGCTTCCAGGATGGGGAGAGCGTCTTCCTCTTCGGTGCACCACGAGAAACGGCTTCGACGGTCACCAAAGGACATGCATCCGACGCAGATGCGTGAGACCTTTAGGCCAGAAGAGCCGAGGGTTGTGTATTGCATGATGGTTATTTTGAAGGTTTTAAAGAGGTTTGGATGAATAATTGGAATGATTGCCAACTAATATTAAAGGAAAGATGTCAAGTGGTTATATAGGAGCAGGATACGGTTCAAACAAGGAAATCTGGGGCATCTCAACGTCAGTCGGCGTTAAGGAGTTTACTATCCCTAAATGCCGATACCCCTCATCTGCTACCCCGACACACTAAAATGCCGATCAAAAGCTACCTACCCGAGCTACCGTACCTTAAGTACCCTCGTACTCGTACCCTCAAGAAAGTTCAGCGGCACACACCTCCGATCCACAAAAAGTCAGCAGCTTGCATAACCATAGAAAACCCTCCTCTAGAATCCACGGAGATATCGTAAAAAGCGCCCATAAACGCCCGCCCGCCAGCCAGCCTTCCTTTCCTATTACAAACCCATCCTGATATACCACCGGATGGATGCAAGCGGGAGTCGCCGAACCCAGAGTGGGAAGGAGAAGGTAAGTCGTGTAGTAAGTAGATGGAATAGAGAGGAAGTCGGAGGTTTGAAGGAGATGAGATGAAGTGGGAGTAATAGCGTGAGTATCGTGAATAGGAGTAGACATCTCACTGGAGATATCTTATTAAGAAACGAATGCAATATCGCTTAATAAAGGGATAATACATAAACGTAGAGTCTATTCACCTTCTCACCCTACACTTATAGGATAGAGTTCCGACCTCTACGCGGTTATCCATAATACTAGAGCGATCACAGATATACCTCACGTCATATAATCACACCAAAAAAATAAATAAACATGACAGTAGTCAAAATTATCATTTTAAACCCCTTAAATTCATCCATGTACATCCCCCCCCACCAAACTATCTATAAACTCCCCCTCCCCTAAGATAAAACGCGCAGATAAATGCAAAAAACTTTCCAACCCTTGATATTCTCAAGCCGAGCGAGATATATGACGAAAGGTGGTATCCAGATAGGCACCAGCCTTTTTTTCTTTTTCTTTCTTTCTGTGGAACTGGGATCCTTGGCTCTCCAGGAGGCCAAATTCTTTGATGGTGCGAGGTATTTTCGTCATGTTTTGTTGTTGGTTGAATAAACACAGCGGAAAGTATTGATCGGATGGTTGGAAGTGTGTTGGGAAGTACGGGGTATAGGGAGAATTGAAGTGAACTCCAGGAAGACAAAGTTCAGATGACCTGGTATGTCGTAGAAAACTATCGCTTATGAAGTATGTAACTGACGTAAATACGTGAGGATCTCGAAATTGGATACGGGAAGTCGTAAAAGCGTAAATGTCTACTTTGAAGAAAAGCAGACCCGTAAAGAACGAGGAATGATGTTGCGCATCGACGGGTTCGGAAGGAAAAAGGATACGGGATCGGCGGGTCGCATTTTAGTTATCGCATCGCATGGATGGTCGCAGCGTACCATATGCAAGGTACCAGTCCCGATTATCGCGTCGCATCGCGTGGAGGATTACAACATCGCCGCTGCGATCATGACCACCACTCCTGCACCGCCCGCATACATGCCATTCAAGTTCGACGCGGCGCCAATGAAGTTATCCGAGATGGACGAGGTTGCGACAGGTGCACCTGTGCCGGAGACGCGGGGCGAACCAGTGCCGGTGGTGGGGATTTTGTAGACGGATGAGGCTGTTGCGAGGATGGCAGTTGGGCTAGCGACAAGGGTGCTGTTGAAAGACGAGGTGGACGAGGTCGCGGAAGGGGATGATGAACTGGAGGTGGAAACGGTCGTTGAGGAGATCGATGTTGAGGAAGAGATTGAGCTGGAAGAGCTGGAAGAGCTGGAAGAGGCAGGGTAGGTCGAGGTTACAGATGCAACGACTTGGGAGACAGTGACAGTGTGTGTTGATCTCAAGGTCGATGTGAGAGTCAGAGTTGAGGAATCCGATTGTGCGATGGCCAGCAGAGGGAGCAGAAGCCCAACGGCGAAGCTTGAGAGATGCATTTCGAAAGATGGTGAGGCCGAAGGAATGGCAATGCGACGGTATATGTGCAAAGAGATCGGAGGTTAGATGCTCGCGGACTGATAATAATCAATGTACTGCTTCTCCAAAAGAATGTCTCTCCTATTGCGACAGTGCGACTATTGTTCGTAGTGAAGAAATAGCGGGAATGAGTGAGTGACAGGCGGTCGATGGAGTTTGTAAGTGAGTGTGATGAATACAACGTTCTTGCGTGTATAGTATTGAGGAGGGCGAGGAGGCAAAAAAGTATCTGTCAAAGATACAAACAAACTTTGCCAACGAAGTCTATTGTACGCAAATGAATGGGAGGAGTCTGGTAGGAAGAAGCGAAGGATGGTTGGTGTTGGGAGACGGCTGTGGGACCGAGATTATAAGTTTATGTTGGACGGGGTGGGGCGGGGCGAACGTTTGCAAATCGCGCAGGGACAACGAGTCAAGCAAGTGCCATGTTCACACTACTCTAATGAGAATAGAATGGATAGAAATCCAAGAGTCATGAGATTCAGCGTCTGCTGTCTAACAATCTGTTGGTAATATAGTTGTGTTTATTACGTCTAGTGATCTCAAGTGAGTCAGTATAAGAGAAGTATCATCTATCTATCGCTCACCTCTTCATCAATACCATCCAAAAACGTCGGCAAGCTAATCAGGACAGCACCACCTTCTATCAACGTATCAAGTAATTTCCAACTCCAGGCTAGATTCCCAGGCTCCTCTCTCCCTAATCTCCAGGCTATTCTCGTACCAACACTCTCTCCGTTGCACTGTAATTTTAAATCTCCAGCGATTGTGACCAGGATGCTGGCCGGGGTAGTGAAACCAAGCGCGTCTCACTGGTCCGTCCCTGGATTTCTGGGGCCAGACCAGAAGCCGCGGGAACGGGAAGAAATCGTGATGCGTCTGCTATCGATAACTGATTGCAACGCTGAGCCTCACCTTATTCTAATCTCTGTCGTTTTCATTCATCGCATCCAATGACATTTCAAAAGTCGGTGCTCAGTATATGTACATTACAAGTATGTTGGACAAGTCATCTGTGCCAACAAAGCTCCGTACGCTCTTAGGAAAGGAAATCCTCTGCGCAGTGCGCACAGTTGCCGAGATCTAGCTGGCATGGGCAATTAAGTGGATCCACCCCCCTCCCTGCCAATTAACTTGCCGGAAATTGCAGAAATATCACCACTGCATCAAGTAGAGATTTTTTCTCTTTTCTTCTTGGCCGTGCCGATGCTAATAGAAGTAAGATAGCGATGTTTGCTATTCATCGTTCAAAGAAATCACTTGACCAAACATCGCAGAATCGTCGGGACTGACTGCATGTACAAATAGGTTCGAAGAAGTACTCGTAGCAAAGGTGTTCTTCATCTCTTCCAGATCCATCTATGTACAATACCTGGCCAGGCGCAGGTACACGCTCGCTTCATCCTTCCTTCCATACAACCCCAGCCTCATCCGAGTCCCCGCCACCCAATCCCACCCCTCCGTTCCATCCCCACTGCCGAATCTCGGTAAATCCTTCTTCCTTCACCTCAAATAGTAACACTTCCCTCATAATAATTAATCACTTACTCCGTACTTCCTCCTACCATACCATACCTCCATATAAACAATATCTTCTTCTTCCTGCACAGAAAACAATAAATCTGCAAAAGAAAAACAGCAAGGAATGTTTTCATCCGAGCTACTGTAAGCGCTTGCTTGTTTTAACGATTTGATTTCATTTGATATTCATTGCTACGGCCATCGTTTGATCACTGCGGGCCTCAAACAGGCCGCGCTTCAGAGGTAGGTCGATCGCGACCTTTAGATGAGCGCGTGGTTACTGTAGGTGCGATGTGCGTGTTATCTGGAAACCGCGCGAGGGGTTGGTGTGGTTGTGGGCTTGTTGCTTTGCTTTGCTTTTAATTGTCTATATGTCTAGGTTTGCGCGACCGGTTAAAAGGGGGGGGGGGAGACGGAGGTGGGTCACGTGACTAATGTATGGTACGCTGGAATCTTATCTTCTGTTCTTTTTCTTCTAGGCCTTCCCTATTATACTCTCTTTTCTTCTCTGGACTAGGGAAGGTTTCGTTCTACATACGTGTATATCTAAGATTTAAACTCTGATTTTTTTTACTCAACTAGGTATATAAGAGTGTCGTTCCTTTGAAATATATTTCTATGTTTTCTGGTAAGTTGTGAACTAAAGTAAGGTATTATATTATCAAGCTTATAGGATTAGGGATTGGAATTATAAGTTATCTGATCGATTTGTACACACTTGGTATCATGTGATATGGGTGTTGTATTTTGTGTTTGCGGGGTAGAGCATTTTCGGGGATTGTTGTACCGAATCGGATCGCAGGTAATGTTACATTCTATGTCTGCGGGAAAGACTACCGCTATACTATAGGCTAGCTATGTCTATACGGGGGGTACTTTCGGCTGTGTTGCGGTTTTAGTAGGTTGTCTTCGTGTTTGTTTATCGTTGTTGCTTTACTATCTTAGGGATCTAGTACATGTGGTATTTGTTTTTTCTTTTGTGGATTGATGGACATTATGAAGTTTTGACGTATTGCCTAGTTTGATATTTAACCATGAAGTGATAAAAGTTTGCAAGATAAGCTATTCTCCTCTACTCTGTCGAAAAAAAAGGTCTTTATTATAAGTGACTTGGAATTCTAACATCCACCTTCACCCCCTCTGCATCGTTCACGTCCATACTCGAGGTTACAGTCCCATTTTCAATTGCCCAACTCGCCTCAATCCACCCCCCGCCATATAGTGGTACATTGCCATAAACCCAAGTCAACCCCAAACCCTCTGCAATTTCCAGCACCGGATCAAACACCCACCCATACTCCCCCGTATCACCATCCAACTCCCTCCTCACACCCAGGATATAATTTGTCAAAACATACGTCGGCGCGCTCCCCACGGATGACACAAACTAGTAAACATGCCGATCCCCGGACTGCCATCCGCATACACATATTCCCAGCTCGCGCCCGTAAAATACTCATTCTGGTTCAGCATCTGCGGCCAATACACATCCAGCAGATTGTGCAACACCGGCACCACAACCTCGGCTGTGACGTTCAGCTGCGTGTATGCGAGGAACAGCGATTCGAGCAGGAACCCTTGCACGTTGGGCGATAGCTGCGTTGTGGCGCTGTTGCCAACGGCGCTTGAGTCTTTATACCCGATGAGGTAGAACAGCGCGTCGAGGGCTTGCACGGCGCTCGTGGCTTGGCTGCTATTAGCGATCCCGGCACGGATGGTGAAGGCAGCTGCCAGCACCGACGTATAGCCCTCGCGCACGCCGTTGGCGAGGGCCGTGGAGTAGGCGCCGAGCGTTGGGTTCCATAGCTGGGTGTTGATGGCCGTGCTGAGATTAGCGGATAGTGCTGTGTAGTGGGCGGCTGTTGTGAGGTCTTGGAGCGCGCTGGCTACGATGGCGAGTTGCTGCAGGCTGGTTGCGAAGAGGGCGGTTGGTGCGGTGGCGTTTTGCTGGCCTTGGGCTGTGAACCAGGATGCGGATGGGTTGGCGAGTAGGCCGGTGGAGGGATCGATGTATGTGAGCATGGCATCAACGAGCAGCTTTGTTCCATTCCAATACTTGGAAAGGAAAGAAGCGTTGGATGTAAGAGTATAGTAATCACCAAGCGTGAGGAGAAAAAAGAGTTCGTAGTCTGTCTCACCGTATTGAGATGGATAGTAGACTGATTGGTACTCAGGCGCAGAACCCATAGAATCTTGCATGGGGACTATGCCTGCAGCTGGTCCTGAGGTAAATTGGCCAGCGAATGTAAACTCGATCATGCTCTCGATGAAATCATATCGACCTGTGCTAACTGCGAGCTCTTTGGCGGTATGCGCGAAATCTCCAATCCAAACTTCTCGATCTCTCTTTGCGCCATCCAAGCACACAGCGTAAGCGTTCGAAGCAACTAGATATTCCGCTAGGATATCTGTTGACGTGAATGAGTTGGTGTATAGCATAGTACCATTCTGCCCAATGACTTCCACGTCCTTGACATATGCAACCTGGTCCTGAAAGGGACCAAAACCCCATGAACCAGTTGTGATGAGCTCTGATCCCCCGAAACCAGCGTTGACATATGGTAGGAATGTTGTATATGGAACAAGAGCAAATTGGGTGTCATTGACCGAAATGTTATATCCTGATGGGGTGATAGTAGTGCTAACTCGATACCACTCATCGTCTAAAATAGGAAATGGATTTGCGTAATATAGAGGCGGAGCAGACGAAAGGTAGAAATTGACAATACTGAATCCGTAGGTAGCAATCAAGCTATCTGATGGAACTGTAGCGTTGTCTGTGCTCAGATACTGAGGTCCATTGCTAGTCAGCACGAAGTACGCTCCGTATCCGGCATTAGGGCCCGCAGCAACTCTCCAGCCAGTTCCGCCTCTGGTTATCTTTGTAGAAAACGACATGGTATAATCCCCATACTTCATACCCAGGGCTGAGGTACCGGGATACTGTCCTCTGATGAGCGCACCGTCTCCGGAAATCTCCCACGTTGAGGGTTGCGAGTCGGCCTCGACACAAGAGGCCTGTACAGCACGTGCTCCAAGGCTCCATAGCCCGTCATAGACATCGTTAGAGGCACAGAAACCTCCAACGAGGGTATCAGGAGGGTTGATCTCGACCGAGGCTCGGAAACCAATATTGGAAATGGTAATGGATGTATTTGAAAGTAGCTCCACGGTTTGCCAGCGCTGCGCACCTTGAATAAAGAAAGATTCCGTCGTGCCTGGTATGGTGATATTAAATGTCTCGGTTCGAAAAGAATTCGATAGCCCATTGGTGTAGAGCCTAGGTGAGCACATTAGCTATAGCTCATATCATACACAGCAAGTATAGTAGGAGGGAGGTACCAAGGCCCATCTCCACTGTCCAGGTTCAATCCATTGAACTGTTCCGAATACTTGAGTTCGATCTGCGTTGCTGATCCTGTGAGGGAGGTGACTTCAAAGTACGGAAAACCTGCAACGTCTGCTGCATAATCGAGAGTTAATACTGGGGTTGAAGAGTCTAGTGTCACTGATGTTCCCGAATAAGGTTGGAGGCTATCAATAACTGGCGCCGTTCCAAGACCAAAAGCTACTGGTGTATATGATGTTTGGCTTCGAGATCCGACTTTGGGTTTTGTAATAGGGTTTGCCAAACTGATTATTCCCAGTCCCCAAACAAAAATGGCCCAAAGTTTGGCATAACTTCGTGGTAAATTAAGCATCATTGTCTATTATTATGCTGACGTTTGAAATAACAAATATAGCACGCCGGACTTCTCGTACCCAATAAATCGCAAGGATCTGAACAATAGTGATTGCAAATAGTTGATATATATACACCTTTTTGACTTTACCTTATTTACACATTCCTTAATGAACTCGCCTGCTCGGTTTGTGATGCGCCGAATAGTCACGCTGTGACTCGGCCAGATTGTAGTACGAGAATATACCCTATTAGTAGAAGATCGTCATACTAACTGTAACACATGACAACCTGGAGCAGGGTTGGTTTATTCAGACCAGGGATATCAAAACTAAAGGAAAGCTTAAACTTACCCCGCAATGCACATGCCACTACCGAACCCCACCTTGCGAGTTAGACTAGATCATGGGGCAGTATTTCAGCATCTTGGTTGTCTTCAAAGGAAGAAGGGACTTTAGATCCAAGTTCACTAGTAAGCTCAATAAATAACACTTTTGTTTTTGATTTATCTAAAAGCATTACTACTCTTAGACCCTTATAGTTATCCCAATTATTTCCTCCGTAAATTAGCTGGAGCAATCCTAGTCTTAGCAAGACATATCTTTTATAAATAATCCACACCAATGCAAGACCATGCTAAGCAGCCCAAATACTAGCATCCCAAGGATAGCTATTAGCATACGCCTATCTGCTCTCGCATTTCTCGCCGCATAATAACCTTCTATCTAATTATCATGCGGGCACTTCGTATTACTCCTACGAAATGGCCTATCCGGCACATTCTTCCCAAGAAACCTACACAGCGGCTCCCACCCATCCGTACCACCCCATTCCAACAGCTTCCCCTCCGGCACCAACCCCCTAATAGTAGCACAATGTTCCCTCAGCACCCACTTCCCATTATCTGCAAAGTCGCCTCTGAAAAACACCAGCCAGCTCCCCTGCACAAAATTATGCTGTGCCCAGAACAGCTCGGCCGCAGAACCAGCTGCGAGCCCACGCGCGCGTGTCGCCGATGAGAGGCACAATGGTATGCATGACGCTCGCGTGCCAGGCCTCGATATCTCTACGCACATTCGAGATGACCTGAGGTTGTACCAGCCGTAGTCGTCTTCGGGGTGTAATGCGACTTCGAAGCCGTGGTAGACGGTGGGGTAGCTGAGTTCGATTAGTGCTGTGCGGAGGGATTCGGTTCCTGAGCGGGACGGCCCCACAGAGCTAGGATGGGTTTTTCGCGGGTGCGGGACGGTGGGGCGATGGGGTAGATGGTATCCTTGATCCTCTCAACAAGGGCATATTGTTTGCGCATCTGGTCTTTGGTCGAATAGATTGAGGATACCTAGTTTTAATTTATGGAATGGCAATATTATTAGATTGGATAATAATGGATGTCAGCCCGTCGTTGCCAGTTCAGTACTATATGATTTACACTTAACGAGCCTCAATTCATCATTTCTTCCTTTTCCTTGCTTTTGTGCATGCTTATAATAATACCGATTTCAAATTGCAGGGTATAGTCCATTTCAGTAATAGCATAAGCTTGATAATTCACGCACCTTATCTAAAGTTATATGATATAAAACCCGTACTCATTCGGCTTTGGATGTTGAGAGAAGGCGCTTAAGAAATATGCCCGTTGCTATCAGAAGAAATACTAGCGTTAGAGAATTAAGTTTATAGTATAAGATGACGCTCTAATTATAGAGTGTAAGACATCTGTTTTCTTCGAGGAATAACGCCTGCTTAGAGGTTGATATGTTTAATTTTTAAGCCTTTGCTAAGATTCTTCTATTACTAGATACCAGCAATAACATCACTGCATGTGCTATTTCATCTGAAATCATAGAGACGTAAAAAATTGTGACGGGTTGCACCTAATATTAGGGCTTGGCACGTGGTACATACGCACGTGACTTTATATATACGAAGCTAGGAAACCCCTTTTATATAGTTTATATAAGGGAAGCTTTTTTCTCCTCTTAGTTAATTCTTCTTATATTAAATTTAGCCTTTTGCTCTATATACTCTACATTCGTCCTATGATAGAAAGCTTTGCTATAGAAGTTATAGAACATAGATCTGGTGTTTAATATAGTAGAGAGGTTTTTATTAGGATCGAGCAATTACAGGTGATCCTATAGGCTTTTAGGGTTAATATTACGCTAAAGTATAACTGCTTAAGGCTTAAATTCAAAGGCAATTAAGTGTGAACCTCAGAATCCCCTACTCTTCAATACCTTCTTCAAAGTCTTCTGGAACGTAAAAACGTGTTCTTTCCCCAGCATCGTATAATGCTCTCCCCCAACCTCATGAAACGCTACACCCCCCGCGCGCACAAAGTTCCTCCACAGAACCAAATGCTCCCGCAGCCACTGCTCCCGGCTCTGCGCTACGACCGCCAACGGCGTGCAGTAGAACACATCCATCTTCGCCACCGAGCCCGAGGGCTCGTATTCGACCGCCATGCTCTGCAAATCGAACGCCAGATTCGCCCAGTTGACGAGCGCCACGGGCGTGAGCGACAGCTCGGCCAACCGGCACGGATCCGCTTGCGTGAGCACCTCCGCCAGCACCTCTTCGCGGGGCGCAGCGCAGAGCTCCGCGGCCAGCTCCCGCGACTGGGCCTCAGTGATGAGATCTAGGAAGTAGGATAGGTGCAGGAGACACGCCACCCAGTCGAGCTGCTGCATGCGCACCTTGATATGCGGCGGCAGGTTGAAAACCCCCAGAAATCCTATCTTGTCGCCGTTGCTTTCGAGCATCTTGGCCGTCTCGACGGCGAGCATGGAGCCGTAGCTATATCCGGCTAACAGGTATGGTCCCTGCGGCTGGCGGCTCTTCATAGCGCTGTGATATGTGGCCGTTGCTTCCTCGATGCTAGTGAAGTGAGGTTCGCCTTTACTGAATCCGCGGGCGCGGAAGGCATATATCGGACGATCAGGAAAGTACCTTGCCAGATTCAAGAAGATAAGAACTTCGCCGACGCCAGGGTGGACCAGCCAGAGGGGCTGTTTGGTGCCATGCGGCTGGATGGTCACCACGGGCGCATATTGTGGTTTGGTGGTGGGCGAGTCGACGTCTTTGAGAGCCTTAACCAGAGAGCGGATCGTAGGGTTCGTCATTAAGGTGATTATTGGGATTGTGGCGGTCAAGTCCAGATGCTCCTCGATGCTGCGCTTCAGGCTGATCAACTCGATAGATGTGATCCCCAACTCGAAGATTGGCGTCTCGACATCAAAATCGTCGTCTTGGATCTGCAGAACGCTGGAGAAAACCCTCAAGAGGAGCTCCTCTGTCGGATTCGCGGGCGCCTGGTGGTGTGATGCTCGGTAACGCAATACTTTCTCGCGACTGGATTCTTCGTACGAGACAAAATCGCCTTTCTCGAAAGCGTGCTTGAGTTTCGTCCGTGAGAGCTTGCCCAGTGTCGATTTCTGGAGTGCAGCTTTATCGAGAGGTATGATCTCTGGTCGTGCACCGGTCTGCATCATCGTGACTCGTGAGATGGCATTCAAGGTATCAAGGTGTACTGTTATGTCCTCGTTGCCGTATGTTGGAAGGAATGCCACGTATATGCTCTCGGTTTGAGCAGGAGGCCGCAACGACGAGAAGCAAGCAGTGAAGCTGCTTGCCACGCCGGGAATCCTGGCATCTTCGATATTAGACTCAATCTCTTCGGGGTTGTAGTGAACTCCATTGACAATTAACATGTCTTTGCTTCGGCCTATAAGCCTGAGATGTCCGGCTACGTCAATCATAGCCTGATCACCAGTCTTGAACCATCCATCTTTTGTAAATGCACTCGCAGTTGCCTCTTCATTGTTGAAATATTTCTTGAATACCACAGGGCCTGTGACCTCCAGGTCTCCAGCTTGATTCGCTCCCAAGGCAACTTGTTCACCTTGAGAGGTAATACGCATCTCAATTCCCGGCATGCAACGGCCAACAGAAGCAAACTCGAGCCTATTAGCAAGGTCGTAGGCTGGGCAACTAGTATTGAATATAGCGCCAGCGCATGTCTCAGTCATGCCGAATCCCGTAATGATAGTTTTCTCTGGAGCACCAAACTTCATTAAGAGCCTCGTGACAGCAGCACAGGTCTCAATCACATTTGCCTCGCCTCCAGATGCAAGATACTGGAGACAGCTCAAGTCCCAAGTTTCCGGCACTTCTGAAGTAGCCTCCAGAGCATTCCGTAAGCGGGCAAGGAAGAAATTCGGTGCGAATGTCCGACAAACTCGGTGGCGATCTATAAGACGTAGGAATTCAAGTGGATTGGTAATGATCTCAGCGGGTGGCACATGGACTTGGTCTACGCCAAGGAAGAGCGCCTGTATGTGTATTTCGACCATGCTCGCAACATGAGCGAGAGCAATCCAGGTCAAAAATGAGCCGTCCTGAGGTAGCCGGATTACTGAGGCTTTACCAGCCACGGCGGTCAGTATCTGACCATGGCTCAAGCACACTGCTTTGGCATTTCCAGTGCTTCCCGAGGTTAACATAAGCAAAGCCGTATCTTCAGGAGTTGGTTCTTTGACGGAAATATCTGAAACCTTCTGGGTAATCTTATGGAGTGACTCCACAGCGATAGGTCGGAGAATATGTTGCCCAGAGAATTGATCTAGTGAACTCCGGTTGGTGATACATATGGGACTTATCAACGTCTTTGACAGATGCTCGATATGAGCATTTCTACTACCCTCATTTTGTGAAAAGGGAGTAGATATTGCAGGTAGACATCCCGCGTAAAGAGCAGCCCAGAACCAGGTGATCACGTTGAAGTGGTCGTTCAAATGGAGCAAGACAATCTTCCCTTCACTGAACCCATCTAAAGAGCGCAGAATTTCGCATTTCTGACGGGCTTCGCGCTGAATCTCCGCGTATATTGTGACTTTTGGATTGGTAGTGTCGCCAGGAGAATAAGTGATGACTTTTCGAATACCATGATTCACCACCGCGTACTCCAAAAGATCCAGGAGGTTGTGGTATGACATTTTTAAGCTTTGAGTCAATGCGCGGGTATGTATATCGTGACTTACTGCAAAACAAGGTGGAACTAGTTGTATATTTCGTAGGTTGCTTATAATGCTTTTCTCGATCCGCGGCTACATATTCCGGTCAATATGAATGTTTAGATCTATAAATCTGGGCTAGTCCAATTACAGAACAGCCTTCAAGTGGTGCCAATCTCAACTGGAGTAAAATACGACGTCACAGTCAGCTTTTGCCTTGTCTAAAGTCTGAACAAAGGCATTTTGTATATATTGCGGCAAAGCAGAGCTACAGGACGTTTGGCGACTGGACCGCATCCAGACTTGGGCATCGGACGCCCGTGTACTACGTGGAAAAGCGCTCGCTGTGCCCTGTATTGTGCCTGGATAATGCCCTGTTTCGATTAAGTGCCGGATCAAAACCGCGCCTCTTGAAATCTGCCCAGAGGAAAGGCTGAATAAAGCCAAAGGTCCGGTTGATCGTCAGCCCAAGAGTAAGTGCATGACCCTGGTCACTGGTGGCTTGTTTGTACAAGTAAAAGCCGGCCAGTGCATAATAGTCGGTCTTCCTTCTTAGCTAGTTCTGTTGGCAAAAGCAAATGTCCCGTACAAGCGAATGTCCCACGCCAAAAACCATACCAAAATCGTGATAATATAAGTGTAAAAGTATAGGTTAAAACATATATAACTTTACCACGCTTTAAATGCATTATGAAACAAATTATATAAGGCATCTCTAGATATATATATCTTAGGTTATATAACTAATTATAATAGAAATTATAAGGGTTGCGTAGCTTAGAAGCCGCAAAAAGTAGTATTTTAGGAGACATTTTAGGCGAGGAAGTCTTAAAAAAATAGGCGTAAACATCGCTATGTGGCGATTTTAGTGAGGAAACCTATATATATCGGACATTCGCTTTTGCCGACTGTAAGCAAAGCGAGCTAAGAAGGAAGACCGACTATTACCAGATTGCATGCATATGCAACGTGCCCTATGTCTTGCAGTTAAGATAAGGATTGGTAAGAAGATTGGTAAGACGCCTCGTAAGACTAGTTGTGCAATGTTACAATAGGGAGGTCCCCATGCATCGCTGAGGCGGGACATAGTGGACGGTCTGTTGCTGTGGTGGCATTCGGAGGCTGAGGGAGGGTGACCAGGGCTGCAGCAAAGTAAGCCGTGATGGAAGTTCAGCGCCTAAATTACTCAACGGAGAGGCTCGCCAAAGTCCCCCCTACTTTAGGGAGCGTGCCAGGTAGCCCCACCTGTGTCGCGTACTTCAAGGCAACCTGCCCAAAACTATTATTGTCACTGATATAGAATTATTACTCGCCATACGTTGCTGAGTTTTGATCGCAAAACTCCACATACTCTAACTTTTATTATCATTACAAACAAACCATTATGGCGCCACGTTTTTCTTTTTTGGGCATGGGCGGCATTGGCAAGGTATGCTCACGCCAACACCTGAACGCATGGCATTAATGGAAATAGGCCATGACAAGGAATATAGTCCTCTCTGGAAAGTTGGATGAGCCTTTGATAATATACAACCGCACGAAAGCCCGCGCCGAGGAGCACAGCGCAAGCATTGGGCATTCTACAGTGGCTGAGACGATCGAAGAGGCCGTTTCGGGTTCGGACATTATTTGGTCATGTCTCCAAGATGATGAAGCCGTAGAACTTAGCTTCAAGCTGATTCTACAGGCAGATGTGACGGGGAAGCTTTTTGTTGACAGTTCATCGATTACGCCTGAGGTGACGAACAGGATCGCTGAGCAGGTCTTGAAGGCTGGTGGAGAGTTTGTCGCCATGCCAGGTATGTGATAGCTTCCAAACTCTCATTTGAATCTAAAACATTGTCAATGCTAAGTTCTCAATCTCAGTCATGGGTGAGCCTAGCATGGCTGAGAAACGCTTGCTCACGTGCATCGCGTCTGGCGCTCCAGGGTCAGTTGACCGTATCAGACCCTACGTTGTTGGAGTGTGAGCCCGCTCGCTTTTATTGTCTAATCTCTCTATTTATTGCTTCAGCAATTACTGATTGGAGATAGAGTAGGACGGGCAATCATAGATCTTAGCGGCGAAGAGCCAGGCAAAGGATCGCTACTAAAGCTCATGGGCAACGTCCTCATCATGAACACCATGGAAACAGTAGCTGAATTGAATGTCTTCGCTGAGAAATGCGGTGTTGGAGTCCATAGCATGAAGAAGCTTATGGACCAAATGTTTCCGAATACGCCGTACTCAATCTACAACTATAGAATGCTGAGTGGAGGATACTATCAAGACACGGTGAGGTCTTCAATCACCGAATATTCCCTGGGATCCCATCTAACAGTATGGTTGATAGCCCATTGTTGAGGTTTCCAAAGCCTTGAAACTCACGGCTCATGTGCTGGAGCTGGCGAAGTCGTCGGGTGCGTCAATTAAAGGATATGAAGCCGCGATTGACCACTTGAAGGTGGTAGAAGATCAGGCTGGGGGAGAAGCAGATATTACCGGCATCTATGGGGCCGTGAGGCTTGAGAGTGGACTCCCGTTTAAGAATGAGACTCAATGAAGGTTTCAAACGAAAGAAAATGACGAATGTTTCTTGTAAGGCAATAACATCACTCCGGTTGCTACATACAAATATAAGTTGATTCTTAGCCCGACCAAGAAGCTGCTATCATGGCCAAGTTAGATCCCTCAGGCTGAGTGACCCCTTCAAAATGGAAGCGTGGATCCGCACGCTCAAACAAATCTTTCCACTCTTCAGCATCACGTTCTCGTCCATTGAGAATAGCCAACATTCCTAGGTCGAATGTTCTAAAATTAAATTTCAGTATATGTAATTGAGGAGAATGATCAAGCATACCTCAACTCCTTTTCTCTCCACGCAGCCAACGTTCCAGGTTCAGCCATACACACGTCGTTGATAATGATGTGCACACCTGGTCGAAGGATCGGAATCAACGATCTTAGGATCTTGATCGAATACTTGTCCGACCAATTGTGGAAAATCCAACGGAAGTAGTAGACATGAGCCACAACCGTCTGCTCCTTGAAAATATCGTGCGCCATAAAGCTCACTCGCTCCGCAACAGCTTCAGCCATATCATTCTCGGCACCTTTGACAGTAATCTCAAAATCCTGAACAACAAATTTGAGGGCTGGAAATTGCATCGCTAGGGCAATGCTGATGTGGCCCCGTGAACCGCCGATATCCACAACCGTTGCAGCTCCCAGACTTTGCCAATCGAAGCCAGAGATGACATGTGATGTCTCGAATCCCTTTTCTGTTGTAAATATGTTCATTGTATCAGCGAATCTCTTGGCCCGTGCTGGATCATCTCCCAGGATTTCATATATTAGCTGATTGGTGTTGTTGGCGAGCGCAAACCCCTAGATATATTATGTCAATAAGAATGCACTCCAGGCTTTCGACTTCCGAACGATTTCACTTCTTACCGTTTCTGCTGGCTCTTCTGACATTGGCCACTTCTGAAGCGCGTCTAGGGTCTAGTATCATGAGCATTCTTTCTTCCCTTGAATGTGTCGGTGCAACCTACCCTCAGAGCGGCGGGCGTCATCTCTTCCAGACCTGTGCGGATGAAATTCTGGATTTTCGGCTCTCTGAAAAGTGCAGAGCGCGCGGTATGAGTAATCACCCCTTTCTTCGGCTCACAAAATATCCTGATCGTCATGGCATGGCGCAGCAGACTTTTCGTGACCGTCTCGCTGAGTCCCGCATGCTTTGCCATCTGGGCAAAGGAGGTTTCTTCTCCAGGCGCGAAGCTGTTGGCCATGTCAAAACGACAGATGGCGTTCATGCTTACAAGATTTTGCACCTACGAGCCACTAAATGTCAAAGCATGCTTCATGCGTGAAGAATAGGACTTACATTGCCGTTGATGTGTAAAGCACTGATTGGTGGCATAAGCAAATCATGTAGCTCAGCCGTGTCGTTAAGAACAGCATCTTGAGCTTTCAACAGCTCCTCAGGCAAGGTTCCTGAAGCATCTGGGCTGAATGATGGGAACTGAAGGTCATGTGACGCAAGATGGTCGTGGATGAGTGAAGTGAACTTGCCGATTCCATTGGCCAGCTCTAATATTCTAGATGATGCCATGAAGAAGAGCAGCTGGCAGACCAAAGCGTCTGAGATTCTTTTAAAATTAAAATGTGTCTTGATACTGAAAAGAAACTGTAGATTATAGAGCAGATGAGGCTGAAGCTTTGGCATAGGAATCCGGCAGTCACTGCTTCTGCTATCCCGGTCCCTTGTGCAAAGACGCAGATGCATCTGTACATACTAGTAAGGATTTGTATGTAGGAACTAGGAAGATTGAAGCCTTATCTCTGTTGTACATGTCCTGCAGCGTGATTGTTAAACCCAACTAGGCAACCAGCCTGACCTGCCAAGACTAGTCAGCCAATTACTATGTAACACAGCGTTTCTTTCTTTTTTAAGAGTAAAGAGTGTGTCTCACAAAAACATGGACAAACCGAGCAGGCCTATAGGATATCAGCCCAAACATTGGGCTTAAGCTGTTCAGGACCTAGAATCTTACCGGTTGCTCTCTTTCCGAGCAGTGATGAGACTGGACCTTCCGACACTTCAAAAGAGAAGCGGGGGTGCTCTGTGCTCCCACACAAATTCAGATCTTCGGTCTGTCTTGCATACATACAATAAAGACGAATTGAGTTGGTTGTCACGGATTCGTTTGCGTGCACGAGGACCCCCTGCAAACAGACTAAAAATCAATTCCTCTACTTTATCTATTCATTCTTTCGGTCCCGGATAATTTTATCAGATATTAGACCTACAAAAGCGTGGCTATCAAGCATTTCTCATTTCTTGATTGTTACATAGATTTGAATAAACAATTCGATACTACATAAAACATTCGCGCATGTGAAGTCACTGGCATTTCGCCAGCATTGTTCCAAAGGAATCCTTTTTATCTGCTTGTATAGTCGAGTTAAACATGCTCGTAAGTTTGTGAGTCGTGAGAAATGTTCCGCTCCACGCGGATCCCATCAAAGGGAGATTCTAGATACTCATTTCCCGTAGCCTCAATCTTATTTTTCTGCACAGAGGTCGAGGCCAGCGGACCTTCGTAGATGTGCATCTTCTCTCTATGAGAAGACGGGACAGAAACGAACCCAGCATCACTCCCTTGACTCGGCCGGTGATCCATCGTGTAGTCTTCCGAAAGCTTGTTCCTCGAAAAGGATCCGGCAATCTTCCGTGAAAATTGACGGATCATAGTCTCAGGTCCCTTTTTGCTGATGAGCGGGCGAAGAGTCGGGAGACAGGCGCTGACAATCCCCACGCCAACCTCTATCGTTGCCCAATAGAATGCAGGTGCGCGTGCGTAAGTCCGGTCAGGGTTCATCTTCATAGCACCGTACATGGCTATGACTCGGAATATCCCTGAGATTATAACTAAACTGCCGAGTGAGAAAATGCCGAGGATGATAATCTTTTGTCGGACTGGCATTTGCAGCTTGTAGACTGGATACAAGGGGATTAGAAGAACAAGACCGTCCAGAATCACATCTGTGATGACCATGCTCTTGTATAACTCGAAGAAGTTGACGCATTTTCCAAATGAATCAGGTACCCAGTTTCCTTTGATTGGTATGCAGCCCACTATGGATGTAATTAGGTTTCTGGCCACAGTATTTAGAGGGAAACTTGCATAGATTTGCAAAGAAAAATCCGATGGTCCACATAACATTAAGGGCGATAAAAACCCACACATTGATCTGAGTGGCTCTGCCAACAAATATTCGGCGATAGAAGAACATGATGCTTGTGCGAGTAAATCCCGGGCTCAGTGTAGTTAAGAGCTGCAGAGCCCAGATGACCTGTCAAGAGAATAGCGTCAGTGATCATTTAGAAATCTGAATTGAATTCAAAGATACCTTAGACCGAAGAAGCGCCCGGTCTTTTAGAACCTGCTTTGGCGTAGTCGTAGACAGGGAATTATGAGTACCCATCTTGCCAGCAAATGCTCCTAGACAACCAATCAGTCTTTTCCTAGAGGTGCAAAGACCGAGAATGTATTACCGATTAAATTGCAAGCGCATTGACCCATGAGACAGACCTATCGCCATTTCAGTATAAGGATTCGGACTCTAATACATAGGCCAGAATACTAAAGCTAACACGATCAGGTAATCATCCATCTTAAAGCCCGATCTTCGAATTCGACGGGCCTCAAAGCGCAGCAGCACGGCTACTGTGGCGATGATAGCCATGAAAATGCCCATGGCAATAGTAATTGCATAACGATCTTCCTGCATTTTGACGACAACGGTAGACAAGTAGAGAGATTGTGTAGAAACTTATCAGAACAACAGCTTGGGAAGCCTGGAATTTGGGCTTACTATAGTGGGGAACGAAAGCTATATGCTGACTCCAAGCCAGGTAGGACAAGACGGCCAGAATCCCTACCGAGCAAATTGGAGCGTTCTAATGGTTTTACAGTCAGGATTTGCTTTGCCGCAATATCATGCGCGCCGCTATTTTCGCGTGGTCTCCAGGGGTAGGAACGGTAAATGAAACCCCTATTTTCGTTCACTGGCACTGCCCCATTTGCTGAGTGCTTGGTGTAACCAAAAATCTGCTTCTTGGAAGCTGGCTATGAAAGAAGCTGGCCATGGAAGCTAGCTATGGAAACTATAGAGACTAGCTAGTTATATGGCCTAGCTTCTTATATAAATAAGTAAATAATAATATTTATATTAATATTAATATTTATATTATTACCATGTGCCGCCGATGTCTGCCTCTTTCTCGTAGACCACCATAGAAACATTCTGGCACATCTTCTGGATTTTGTAGGCCATCATGATGCCGGACAGCCCACAGCCAATGAGGATGACTTTGAGAGGTCGGTTTGCTGGATTTCTTTTAGAATTTTAGAATAGAAAAAGCCGAGGGAAGAAAAGAATTATGGACAGAGGACGAAATGCATACCTGGGTTTCCGAGCAGGAGTTCGGGGATTTGGTAGCTAGATTCTGGCATATCCGGCATTGTGGCTCCCCGCTATGGGGGAGTCCTGAGTTGGTGGTCGTGGTGCCCATCTTTGAAATAGATGCCATATATTGGGACAGTCCGTAAGGGACCATTACAAGCATATGAGATTTCCTTGGACAGAAAGAAAGTCTAGCGTTGTTTGAATTTATGAGACGGAAAAAATGACGTGAGCTTTGACAGGGGCTAGAGAGCATGCAGGCCTTAAGAATACTGACTGTGACGTGACCCAGGTCTCTATCTCTCAATTTATCAAAGGGCAAAGGCGAAAGAAAGATGTTCCCGCACCCTTCATGCATGCTACACACGAGACTACCATTGCGGCCCAGTCGAGAGATATTTATTAGGGGGCTCATAAATACTACTACCTAGTAGCTAGCTAGCTACTTTATAGGAGAAGCAAGGACGATAAGACTGCACACATCTGCATGCATCTATCTGCATGTGCACATAGGCATATGCGCCACACGAGGTGCATATAAGGCTCCGAGCACACGTAAAAATAAATTCTTCTACCCGTCCATTATTCTGCTGAATGGCACCGTTACATATCGGTAAAGACAGGGATATGATCAAGAGCTGGGAGCCTGGGCAAAGGATCAGCTCCCACCCCACTATTTAACCGAGAGGAGGGGCGGGGGTGGGTGTCTAGTCCAATAACGGGTGGTGTCCCTTTAGTGATTCTGAGATATACGCTGTTTCAGGTGCATAGCATCTTTAGATACTTTTGATAGATAGGAGCGGCGCTGTTTATTGAGAATAGGGAGAGAGAGAGAGATTGCATTCGCAGGTTTAAAGCGTTATATAAAGAGGTCATATTCGTTGAAAATTCAGCTGCATCGACTCGACTCTAGATCTCTATACCCTAGCATACCCTTCCTTTGCTACTGTGATAATAGCCTCATACCCGCCCCAACCACCCGTATAATTTCGTTGCGCTTCAATCTTAAGCCCGGTGGTACTCAGCAGGCTTTCCCACTGCTCCTGCGTCCGTTCTTTCGCGGCGAAACAAGCCATCATTGTGAGATCCGTGTGCGTGGCCGCCCAGTCAACTCTCCAATTCGGCAACACCATCTCGTCGATGAGGATCCGTGAATGATGGCCCATCACATCTTTCAAGCGAGACAAGATGCTCTGGCAAGCGATGTCCGGGAAGTCGTGCAGGACGGCACGTAGGTAGTAGAATCTTGCTCCTAAATATGATAGACTACTCATCAGAGAGAGGGCAATCGATAAAGTCGTCCAAGTATGTTGAGATTTTGACAAATACTGACCTTGGATGGGCTGTTCTTCGAATATATTATGCGCCCTGCCCTCCACTCCCTCGTGCTTGACTTTCTGCGCTATGAAGTGCTCCAGATCCTGCACCTGCACCCGCCCCCTCAACTGCGGATACTTTTCTCTCAACGCCGCGCACTGATGGCCGATTCCCCCTCCCACATCCACAAACACCACCTCTTCCTTGCCTGCCTCGCCGACTTCCTCGAGGAACGGATACACCGAAAGCCACGTGCTCATATCAATACTCCGCAAAGCCTGGTACCTCGCGAACGCCGCTAGAGACGCGGCGGGCAGCGACGGGAAGTACTGGAACGCAGTCAACGGTGTCTTGTAGGCGAGTTGGAACGGACTCTTGGCGGCGTTCGCGGGATTCTGGAATGCGGTTTCGCGGAGAAAGGCAGGCGCTGACTGAAAGGCCGGCGCGACGGTGTCAAAGCTATATATATGTGAAAGATCAGATCAAAAGCGATTAGAAATAATTCTCGGAGAAGTCGCGGTCGCGAATGGGGATTTCCAGATACCCACTAATGAATCACACATGCTTCCTTGCCTGGATCAGCGAGGACTTTGGTAACGTTGTTGGCAGCGAAGATGTTCTTCGCTGTCTCGGATACCATGCCAAAAGACGCGAAATATCGTAGATAGCGACCTGTCATATTTAAAGTTAGTACTGAGAAGAGAAGAGAATATAATGCCTGGTGAAGATACTTACCGACTAATTGAGAATCTGCACCATCTTTGGTCAGGTCTCCAACTTCGAGCGGCCCCTCGCTGGCAGCTAGTCGGGTGAAAATTCCAAGATCGATACCAGTGCGAACTGCTGAAGTGCGGAGAGGCTTGAGAGACTTTATTGGTGGCATTGGAGAGGACAGAACAAGGGGATACTGACATAGGAAATGATCCGTGTTATGGTATTTTTCGGAGCTTCGAGGCTGTAGGACAAATCTCGAAGAGCAATTGATAACCTCTCGCGACCGGCCTCATCTGCGGCTCGGGCAAGCTGCTCTACTTGTTCTTTGATTGAATCCATGGCTCGTGGACGTAAGGTACACGATGAAGGAGAAAATTGGTGGGTGGGTATAAGTCAGGAGCTCGTTACTAGTCGGTGCCTACCGTAAGCCTCGATTGTATGCAAGAAGCCACTAGTGCCTGGGATGAGCTATTCACGCTTCGGATTTCACACAAGTCACATGAGCAGAATACAAGATAGCCTCAAAAATTGTTTAAAGACAATGCCAGTTACTATTTGCAATTTCAGACTGTGATTCATGGCCCATGTGCCAGTACCTCTACGCCATATCCGCCCTGTAATCCCTTCCCATTTGCATTAGTTTACACCCGATATCATCTACGCATCTAACGGCATCATCGGAACGGCTGGTCCCCAAGGAACGAGCGTCATTCTCTTTGCTGAGAGGGCGTATCCTTCCATGAACTACAACGAGTCAACTTCCGGTCAGTACCACTAAAATCAAGCATCTGACTTACGATTTCAAAGTGAGTCGTGCTCTTGAACGCGTCTTTCGTCTCCTCATCAACCTCGTAGTAGATCTGGCGTAGCCATCGATGCAAGTTTGGATAATCGTAGCGGATCATCTTATAGTTGCACATGAATAGTGTGTAGTAAGCCATGTCAAAACGTACGGATGTTGTGAAAGCCCTATGTTGAGTGAGTCATTATGCCAAGATATACTCACAAGATCTTACCTAATGTCTGTCTCAGTGAGATGATCTCCGAACAGGTACTTTCTACTACTCAAACGCTTCTCGAGCTCATCCAACAACCTGAACAAACGGCTCATAGCATCATCGTAATCGGCTTGCGACTTTGCCATACCACACAGATAAGTTCCCCAATTGTACCCGATTTCGAGCCTGTCACCAAGTTCGTCGATCTCCTTCGCCAAGCTGTCTGGGCGCAAGCCTCCGCCTGGCTTATTATCTTCCCTAATCTCCGGCGCCAAGAAAGCATCAAATGCAGTGGCAAGGATCCGGATAATACCCACACTATCATTATTCACAATAGTCTTCTTCTTACGGTCCCAGATCAGCGGTACAGTATAGCCACCTTGGTATTCAGGGTCTGCCTTCTCGTACAACGCCTTGAAATTCTTGAAGCCTTCGACAGGATCCACCAGGTCCGACTTGCTCGTGCCATCGTAATTCCAGCCATCAACGCCATCGCGGTGAATGGAGACGACGCTCAGCGCGACGATGGGTTGGAGGCGTTTGAGCTGGTAGACGATATTGGTTCGATGAGCCCAAGGGCAGCCGAGATGAAGATACAAGGCCTCAAGTTTGTCAGTATACGAGAACAATAGGCTGATCCGTTGACTTACGTATCGATCTTTCTCGGCAGGGAACTCAGAAGCGGGATCCGGGCTGATCACACCCTGGAACTTACTCGGTGGAGGCGTGAAAGAGCTCGTCAGCTGCGGAGCTGTACTCAGCGGTTTGGTTGCCATCTTTGCAGAAGTTGAGACGTCAGGAAACTCGATGAAGCTGTTTGGTGGAGTTGTGAAGGCCGCGGGCTGTGTTGGTGTCTGCGCTTGCTAGGTTCACGGCGACGCGTATTAAGTACACGCAATATTGAGTCAGGTGCCGGAATATCATGGAGCAGGTGCACTAGTGGCTGCCTAAACTGTGTGACAGCGAAACATAACAAAGATGACTGCTGGTGCATGCATATGGCTGACGGAAAGCTGAGGGTACATGTCGAATTCACTAATTACACGACACTTTAATAATATGAATGGTTACACGGCATGCACGGATGATCGATCCCTGTACAGTCGAGGGGCAGATGCAGATCCGATTCTGCAACTAGCCCCTATACAGTGGGGTTCAATAAGTTTGAACACCCCCCCATGCTAGCGCCCGCTAGCTCATATCTGTTCAGGGCATTTTAAAGCGCACTTTGAATCATGATACCCCGAAGTACGTGTTTGACAGCACGCTAGCGGGCGCTAGCAGGGGAGGGGGTGTTTAAACTTTTTGCACCCCACGGTAACTGAACGGGAGGTTTATTGCCTCAGGCAGAACTGGAAAACGTACGAAGCAGCAAGCAGATAAGGGGAGTAAGAGCGCCTATAGCGATAAATTTAAAAGTGCATTCTAATCTTTAGGGATTAAACTGTAGCGTCTAAATACTAATAGAATATAGATCATTTTATTACTTTTAGGGTTTTTGAAGAGGTGAGGGTTTAGGGGTAAAAAAGGCGAATATTCTTATTATATCTCTTATGTATTAGCAGCAACACTGATAATAATACCTATTATTATATCCTTACCCTAATCATAAATGAGACGAAGTTGCAAGAATTCTAGGAGTCGTAACGTCCAAATAAGGGAATAATGGCCCAAAGGGGAAAAGTTACGCGAGGCTTGGCACCAAGCCGAGAGTGAGGAAAGTAAGGTAGTAAAGGGCAATGACCTGCATGGATGGTTACACAATCGCTTGCATACACATTTATATAGTAAAATTATTAACTGAATGCCACTATTACATATATATTAGTTGTACGAAAAGTCCCTGCAATTACTTAAATGACTCACTTAGCCTTGCATCAAATGACACCACACTAATGCATAGCAATCGCCTACGAAAATTGCATACATTTCGGATCTAATCCTAGACTAAGCTAAGAGCCTGTTTGGCTGCCACATCTATACGGCGATGGCGGCATATAAATATAGCAGATAAAAATCGAGGCATCTCGTACCGAACAGGCCCTAACCTGCATACCTAAGAGAGCACAACACTAGAAACTCTCAGCACTTTCTACTCAGAACCTACTAGAACAAGCCCGTGCTACACAGACAAGGCTGACTGAATTTGTTAATGATGATTCCAAATAGTAATACTATATAGCTGCTTTTTCCAGAAATCAGACATATAACAAGTTAAAGAATTATCTTAGTATAGTGACTATAGACTTAAACTATTATTTTCTAATATCTCGTATATCGGGAATAGATTCTTAAGAGTAATAGTATTATTCCGACTTAAAAATTTACCGGAAATTAGAGCTATAAACAGGCCCAAATCGTAGAAATCACATCCCTTTTATTATTATTATTAATTTCTATCTTTTTCTTATTATAGCAAATATTCGAATATCTCTAATATGCTAGCCGGTAAGTGTTGTTTCTAAAGGGAACGATCTTGAATTAACTGCTGTTCTATAGTAGGAAGTAAGCTGTATATTAACTTTTCCCTTTCCCGTCTAGATTGGCCCGGGCAAGGCTTAACGCACTCGCTCGCCCTCTACTGCTGCTAGCCTGATACCGTCCTGTACTTGGTTCATTGTCTTAGTAACTCTTATTAGCTTCTTTGAAACTCCTGCGTTTCTTTTACTCCGTTACTACATTAATTTGGTAATGGCTTCTACCGTCAAACGCAAACCTCTGAGCAGTAGAATAAACAATGAAGCAATTATAGGAAACCAGTGCTATAGAGAATCAATAGCTCTCGAGGATCATATTAGTGGCCCGATGGGAGACACAGTCTCGTTCGAGGATGGCGATGCAGACTTGGAACCTGAGCGCGTAGATTGTCCGGCTTTATAAAGCAAGATTCCTTTGCTAGTCTATGACTTGGGAATATCTAACCCTCAACCGCACAAAGATACGGGCTCACGCCTCGATTCATCTTCGGTCCAATCAGAGCACTTCAATGAGCGACAGTCTATAGAAACGCAACCAAGACCTCCATCTAACCTGGTAGAGTATGTCTCCTGGGGATTCGATTGGCAAAAACCATTATCCATATTTGCACTTCTACTTCTTGGTTTTCTGTTCTCCTTTGGACACCACCTTTATTACCGCTCATTAAATAACACCACTGCGGGCGATGAGCACAAGCAAGCATGGCATATCAGGTTTGGCACACTCTTCGCCTTTTTTGTCGTGACTCGCTTCCACGCCATGACCGCAGCTGCGTTTGGGCAATGTACGTATACCAACCTCTATCAAAGCCTGTTTCTTTAGAATTATCGCGGAAGGAGCGAGCCGCACTCCTTGGAACACGTGCTGTATCTTCGAAGATGTCATGTAATTTATCGCTAACCTGGCCTATCACTGCTCACCGGATTTCGTCTGGCCGGCCCGTATATCGAGGGCGGAGTATTGTACTTGTTAAAGGAGAAGGACCGGAGAATGCAACTTAGGGAGGCTAAGCAGCAAAGGACGGAAGAGATTCGAGAGAAGAAACATTAAGCCACATGTCACAAGGTAACAGCATCCAGTTTTGGCTGACAGGCAGCCTGACTTAGTTATGCTTAGCTTTTAACATAATATAGTGTCTCTGGTTTGCACGCTTTCCATTTTTTTACTTGTTAGATAACAACCTGCATTGCACCTAGTTAGTGGACTTGAGATGCATTATCCTTCGTACCTACCGATGAAGAGAGGGCATGCACCATGATGTGGCAATCAGAGTCGGCAGGAACCATGAACAATGTGAATAAGGTATCTTAAGCCTGTCTCTCTCTTGTCTCTTCTTCTCTTCTTCTCTCCTTATCCACGATCCAACCCCCGAGAAATTTCGAGCCAGCGCTATATATTTACTCAGTATCTTTACCTTCGAAATCTCTCCGCAAGACACAATGCACTTCTTCTGACACTTCTTCAGCCCTCGAGCCGCGAAGCGTGCCCTGACATCTATAGAAAATAACACTGTTGCTGAAATATCCATTGGGCTCTGGTTTGACAGCTTCGAAAGAGGCCATTCGATCGGTCTTGCACGAGCTACCGCCCACCAGCAGCAACAATATCCCCCACAGGAGACAGGCCGTCCGGTTGCCCTAGAGGAGGAGAAGTCGAGGAAGAAGTAGATCACCGGGCATGGTGGTAATTATTCTCCAGGGTCCTTCCTCGCCTCGCTCTAACATGATATACGTAGGCGGCCTGATGGAGCCCCTGTAAGACCCATCAATCGTCAAGCCCGTTGTCGAGAACTTGGTGCTCTAACACCCCGGCGGCGGTTCACATTCTCATACGACTCGGTTTCGGGTCGCTCTTACGACGTCTGACTTGCAATGAGAGGCATCGGAACATCTCGACGGCGGTTCACATTCGCATGTCGTCTGCCTTGCAGTACGAATCATCAAGCTACGACGGCTCACATTCCCCATCTATCCGTCATGAAATAAGAGATGCCAGAGCCCCTCGACCACGATTTGATTCGATATCCCATCTGCTTTGTAGTAAGAGACATCAAAGCACCTTAGCGACGACGAATCACCACTTCATCTCGTCTGCCTCGGATCTCCCAAGCCCCAACAACAATCAATCTTCCACAGAGGTCATAGATCCAACTTCGCAGCGAGGACAAGTCGGTGAATTGTGGTAGCCCTAAGCTTCAGATGGAATATATCCGCGAGCTTCAAACTTGCTTGCGAAAGTAGCCCCGGGTCCCTGCGAGGACACTCAAAAGTTTTGTCGTCGCCCAGAAAGGTGTCACTATAAACGACACAGGAGTCCCTGGAAAGAGCCCTACCGGCGAGGGAAATAGTGGAGTGTCTGCGGGCCCCAGCAATCCAAAGAACGAAAGCAAGATAAGCGCTGCGGTGAGGATGATGAAGCCAATCGCTTGGTGCTGGAGATGGTTGCCGAATTTCAAATATAGTTGCAGGGTAGCATCGATGGTGGTTTCGAAGATACGAGTTGTTGACAGCAAGTTCTCCACTGACAGCGATGGACTCGACACCAGCAACTAATTCATTGACGAAATCAACTCCACCTATACTTTGAATGCACATTTCCGTTCGCACTGGCCTTGGACCTGATGCAAGTAACGAGGGCATGCAACAACCAAGCAAACGACCGCAAAGCAAAACAATTTAACGGATCCGCACACAACTCTTGGTTCCTCTAGGTGAACTTGAACCACTAAGCTCAACCAAAATTCGCGAAGATTAAGGCAGGAATGGGAGGATCTCAAGGGAGGGAAAGATAGGTTTGAAGGATGAAAATGCATTTCCCGGTGTTTCGACTCTGTCGTAACTTACTCGTAAGCGTAGAGGCTCACTGCTATGTTTCCATACCAGTGGCATCGGGGTAAACAGGAGAGACCAAGAGAAGGATTTGGGATTTTAGGAAATTTGGGGGTACCTTATGGAATGGAAATATAGGGAAGAGCGAAAGGAGGGGGGCTAGTGTCAAATCTACATGTCGTCTCTAGCTGTTTGTAACAGATAAAATTATCATTTGCAAGAAGATGACGGTGAAATGCCTCAAATTGATGAAGAAGTTTTAATGTCATGAGTATATTTATTACGGGCAGTAAATTCTAAGCCGGTAAAAAAGAACTTATTATAATAAGACAAAACCCGTAAAGTATCGCCAAGCATAAATATACATATGAAGGCACCTAAAAAGAAGAATCGGAGAGGAGAACTTGATTTCTATTCTAAGCTATAGAAGGTATTTTTATGCTATCAGCTTGTACTATCATGTAGCCTTCATTGCCTCATAACCAAATGGCATGCCGGGTTATCTTAGCTTACAGTTCAATTTCAAGGGGGGGACTACCTTTTAAGCGATCCAATTGGCTCCCCCCAAGCCACGTCTAGACACAACTCGGTCTCGATGGTTCTTAGTACTTATATATACAGCATAATTCCTCTCCCTCACAAACCTCCTTTCAACCTTTCACACAAACTTCCATCTTTCAAAATGGCCAGCCCACGATTATCTAAAGGACTCATTCTAGACATTGTCTACTTCTGCGATATTCCCACCCTCAAATCCCTGTCTGACGCACAGCTCTATGTGCGACCTGCTGGACACGTATCAAACCTCCATATACTCAAATGCCCAAACCCAATTCTTCCAAGCCCCTTCAACAAACCCACAGCCTGCCTACACCATAAAATCCCCATTCTCCCTCCCCGCAGCCCTCAATCCACCCCTAACCAGCCGCGAAGCCGTAGTCGACGCGCTGCACCGGTACGTGCTGGCCTTTAGCACAGCCAACACAGCGCTCTTCGACTCGAGCTTTATGCCCGACGGCCTGTTCGAGGTCAACGGGCGCGCCATGGAAGGACGGCCCGCGATCCACGCCACGGGGCTCGCGCTCATCTTCTCGCTCGAGACGAGACAGTGAAAAGTCGGAGGCACCAGACGCTGTAGTGTTGTACCAAGAAACCCAAGGTACGAGTCTGCAGGTAAGCTGCATCACACCCTATAAATACGGGCACTCCTACAGACTTGGCCCACCATCGATTCTACAACACACTCTTTTACATAGCATATTATTACATACATTTATTGCGATAAAACTATAAGTCAGATCCTAGCCTAGAGCTCACAGTTGTGCTGTCCCTCTACAATACTTGCTTTCGGTGCGTCTTGATCTTCCTGCATGTTTCCGCCCCCGATTTCTGTACATGCCCTACAGTGGTTAAGGTAATAGTGTGGAGGGACAACACAACCGCGGACTCTAGGCTAGGATCTAACTTATGGTTTCACCATTGTATAAATATATAAACTAAATAATCTGTATAAAAGAGTGTGTTGTAGAATAGATGATGATCCAAGTTTATCCAAGTGTCCGATTTTATAAGGTACGGTGCAGTACTAGCTGCATACCCCACTTCACGTGACAGCCCATTTAGTCCCCACCACAATAGCACTAGCATGGGGTCCCCTACCACGCAATCTTGTCCTGATTAGGCAATTTGTACTCCAGGTCAAAACAATATGCTATTAAGGGCTGCGGTAAAGGATATATAAGATAAAGTAGGATAGTATAAGTTTAAAGACTTAATTAATAGTAAGCTAGCGCACTATCAAGCTATTATTAATGCTAAATGCAGGTTTACTAAATACTAGAGAATATTAGAGCTGTTAAACACTTTGAAGTCTAAGAGAGCATTCGAAGATAATTGCCTAATTAGGACAAGATGGCGGGGTAGGGGAATGCCAGTGCTATTACCTTACTTGACCGCTGTACCTTCATAGAAGGCTGAATTAAGTGCAAACACGTCATCCAGACACCTCAGGCAAGAATCTCAGAGCAAGTTAACTCCATCTCAGATGCTTTTCTCCCTTTGTATCCTACCACCCAGACTATCCTCAGAGCGCACATCAGTGTTATTGTGCAAGAGTCGAAATGGCTGCAGCCAAAGGAACCGTCATAATTACTGGCGCAAATGGTGGACTTGGCAGTGCTATTGCAAAGCAACTTGTCTCCCAGCCAGAGTTTGTGAACTACCATGGAATCTACCTGGTCCGAGACGCGAATTCTGCGCCTGAGCTCAATGCCGCGCTCGCTATCAGCTCATCGCACCCTCACGATGTCTTGTCGATGGACTTGACAGATCTGGATAGCGTCCGAAAGACGGCGGAAGGCGTTAACTTGCGAGTTTCGGCGGGCAATATTCCCCAAATCAAAACATTGATTCTCAATGCCGCGTTTCAGGATTTCGGCAAACAGACCTGGACAAAAGATGGCTTTGATACTACATTCAGCGCTAACTATCTTGGACATTGGCTTCTGACAATGCTCTTACTAGAGAGCATGGACAAAGAATCTGGGCGAATTGTATTTGTGGGTAGCCAGTCTTACGAGTAAAGTCCCCACCGGCTCTCATGATATTGTTGAATCTTGAGCTAATGGCCATGTTCTGTTCCAGTCCCCGTGATAAGAGAAATGAACGAAGCAAGGCATTCATCGACGAGAAATACAAGACTATATTCCACGACCAAGCTGGTGTAGAGGCCATCGCGAAGGGAAATTGGAGTTCGGCGCAAGAGGACCCATCCTGGCGCAGCGGATATCGTCGATACGGCGCCTCGAAGCTTTTCCTGATCATGATGATGCACGAGCTTCAGCATCGTATGGATCAAGATCCTACATTTGAAAATGTCTGCATACTGGGCGTCGATCCTGGCACTATGAGTACTAGTCTAACGCGACATGCTTCATGGGTCTTTCGCTTCATATTTCATGTCATTGTGTCTCTTCTGATATTTTTCATGCCGGATGGGCCAATGCATACAACCCAGAAGTCAGCATCGCACATTCTGCAAGCTGCGTTTGATTCAAACCAAGTGATGGGCCAGTCTCCGAAAGATGTGTATTTAGATGGGGTAGATTTATCGGAGACGAGCGATGAGTCGGGAGATGTCCGAAAGAGAGATCTATTGTGGAAAGAGAGTGTACGTTATACGGGATTGAAGAAGGGGGAGACCGTTCTACAAAAATGGGAGTAATCTATGGATTCAAAACGACTTAAACTTTTCACTGCTTTCAAAAGTAGCCAGTATCAGCCTATTCAGAGGCTAGAATCTTGGCAATTGATGGGATTGCAAAGGTGTTCTAGATCTTTAGTTAGAGCGCTTCTTTCATGTCTAATCTAGGTAAAACAAGATAGCCACAACAGCGTTGAATTCAACGACACCAATTATGGGGCTGGTACTTTGCTCCTACCTGTGGAAATGCTCACTGTGGAGTCAAAGCCTTGAGACTTGTGTAACACAATTTGTGTTATACAAAGTATAGACGCGCTGTGGTTATACTCACTAGCTGGGTGACTTACTACGTGGTCCGTGCTTCTATATTTCGAACTAACATTATACTACACTATCAGAGACGAGCCAAACGGATTCCTCCCGCTATGACATATTTGGTAATGTCTTTATCAGGGAATACAAATATCAAAATGGTACCGTATTGAGAATATTAGCAGAGATGCGTTGTGCATGGTTCTACAAATGCGGCATGGGTATCGTTAAAAGCAGAAGCATCTCCGCCGGACCGCCGTATTTCTGCATCGGCAGTAATTGTACCATGTCCAGCCAAATCGGGAAGTGCGCATCGAGGACCTATCAATTTCGTTTTCTTCAAATTCTTGATTGAAATTCGTAAAGCGCTTGTTTTTGGGACCTTTGGTGTGGTAGCTCCTCGTGTATTACAATATACCGCATGGCGCGAATTGTCAAAACACCTCCACTGTTCCTCTCCGCAGTATTGACAACACGCAAACAACGATTCCATTTCTTGATCTCCGACATCTCCCTAGCTAGAAGCGCAGCTGTTATTGAGGTAGCAAGGACTTCGATAAGAAACGCTGGCGTAAACTATTTTTCTGTTATTTTGTTTGCTATCTTTATCTTTCGCTATTCTTTGCCCTCCTAAAATGCTGTTGGAGTTGCTTGACCGTCCTATCTTCCTGGTGCTACCAATTTGCGTCATTTATATTCTAGTTACTTATATTAGACGCCGTCTTCAAATTTGCTCTATTCTCATAACAGGTGCACGCGAGAATGACTGGTTTCCGATCCTTCAAGCAAAATAGCGTAATACCAAAGACTTCAAAGCGACTAGTACGTATATCTCCTCAGTATTTATTTTCCTTTTACAAACTTTTAGGGGTATCGGAGAGCTTTTGTTGCTCCCGGGTAAGTGCTTTAAAATGGAGTGACCAGTGCTTTGAATGCTCTTGAAAGCTTTTGAATTTTCCTTGACAAGCAATACTGACTCCCATTTCTTGTAGTGGAATAGACTCATACGCAGTATCCAGACCGTGCAGTCATCATCCTCGTCATGAGCAGAGGAGACAGCGCAATGCTACCGGCCTCGGAGATAGAATTTGTCACGGAACAGCTAGATTCAGTTCTTGGTTTCAAAGAGTGATCTGCCCAAATATATCAAACCCACTATGCTTTCATAAATCCGAGAGTAAATCAGGCTGTCCGTTATGATAACATCATCCGAACAGTAAGAACAGCTCATATTGGAAGTTTAACTCCTGCTATGGCAGATGAGGCAAATTGGGCTTTCAAAGAACACTGGGGCATCGATAAGATAGATTGGCATGAGGTGTGCATCTTCGAAAGCTTGCGCCATGTCTAATTACATAAACAAATACATAAAACACTGATATAATTCAAAAATCAACATCACGTGCGTTCGATATATCGGAAATTTTAGTTTATCGGAAGGCAGCTAGGCATTCTTGAATTCCGATATAACGGATTTTGACTTTAGAAACACTTTGAAAAAAAGAAACCGTTTTCTTGAAGCTTTCAATATCACACTCTCAAGTTTAGCCACACTGCCTAACCGGTGCTAGCATGGCCGGTCTTAGCTCCCAAAACAGACTTAAAGTTCGTCGGGCTGTCGAATCGAAATTTGGGCTTTCACCGATAGATATTCCTATTCCTATCCGTTGAGTAAAGGAGGCCAAAAAACGAAGAAAAAAAAAAACGTTGAAAAGACGACTAGTACCTGATCAAGGGCTTCAGGGTTCATGCAGTCCCCGGCTTGAATGCGGCTGCGATACAGATCTGACCCTTTTGCTGCACTCTTTGGTTATGTACTCTTGCCTCCGGGCTGTCGGATGGAGGCCAACGTGCCTCGTACCGCAGATTCCGGCCATCAATAATCATCACTAACTCGAATGTTACCTCCCAGTGATGTGGAGCCTTAGGTCCAGAATACGTGCTGTAAAATGACGGTGGCTCTAGTTGAATAAGACCTTCGTCCCTAAGAAAAGTCATGTCTGCAGTGATCGAACCAGCAATTTCTGCGCCTGTTCACAATAGTGTATTAGCAGATACTCCTAATAGTAAGTGCCCGCCATCTACCTTTGTTCATTGCATGTGTCTTTCTATAGTGAGACTCATGCTGGAAGTCAGATACATAGAGAACCTCCTCGCAGCTGAATACACTTCTTTTCGGGGCGAAAGTGTGCTTCACTATGATAGAGAACTCTTGATGAGCCAGTAGATGATCGTCCTTAAAGAACAAATTACAAGTATTAGCCAAAAACGGGATAGTTCACAAATCATAATAGAGAGAGTAAGTTTACAAACCTTTTGAATGAGCCAATTGATCGTCCCTTCAATGTACTTTTCACCATCTACTTTGTCTTTAATGTATCTGGTATTTTTATGTGCAGCAAACTCGTTTGGCTCGTATGGTTCTGTTGTCAAGAAACCATAGCTACACGAAGTGACTCGTAATGCCTTGTGGTCTTTATTTAATGCTTGAAGAACAGCGCCTCGTGCTACCGCAGTTGACCTGTTCAGGTTTTAGTATAATGTAAGGTTTGCTCTAAGTTCATGGTTAAGACATGGCAAACTCACGCTGTGCGAGGAATCAAGAGACGGATTTCTTGGCCCAGAAAATTCTTCTCGGTCGCAAGCAAGTTCCATAAATGTGCTTGCAGAGAGGGGGACTGCCCAAAGCCGCCGATGAGGATAACTTTCTTCCGAGAATGTTAGGAGGGATAAATTTTGGCAGGGATAGAACGACCACATGTACAACAACTTAGGTTCCCATGGCAAATTTCAACTTACCTGGACAGCGGACCCCTTTGACTTTACCATCTCGAGTTGCGCTATGAGCAGCTTGGCAGTCTTGTCTAGAGACTCGTGGAAAACCCACATCATTTCGCGCCTGGGTATGTATTAGCATCATTCTATACAGGTTTCTAGGATCCTACTTGGATATTCCCAGTCGATTTTGAGAGAACCGCTTCGCGGAATTAGCTCTCAGATCGTCAATATAGATTGATTCAGTTTCGAAATTCTTATTGGTCGTGTCGATCAATCTCTTTTCTCCGTTTTCAAACTCTATGACTTTCCCTTCAGCGATGCTCTTGATAGTTTTCCCATTCTTGACAAGGTACTTTTCGTGCTTTAGTCGTTTCAGCAAAAGCTTCTCAAATCTTTCGTTGATATAGCTTGCCCCACAAAGCTTGCCTAAGTATTGTGAACATTCACCTAAATTGAATGGAGCGGGTATACATACTACCAGGCGGAACAACCTGATCGGACAATTTCAGAGGGTAGGATTTTGTGACTTTGTAAGTAACCGCATCAACAGTTCCACCCCCAGCATCCAAGATGACAATGGTTTCATTTTCCTATCAGGATTTAAGGTTCAGCACTCTGCCGTCTTGCATGATATTGAGGAGTAACCTACGTAAATGTCGTTATTGTCCTCTGCTAAGACGCACGCAGCTGCCGCTTCCGGCTCAGATATAATGAAAAGGTTGTCAAGACAGCCGTTTACCAAACTACCTAGCTCGGATCTTTTTGCAGCAGAAGTCATAGCTGCCTGCATTGCACGACATGCCCTGGATGGCCAAACCGCTGGTACGCATAAGACAAATTCGATGGGTATATTGACATTATACTCATTGAGCCTTTGCAATTCGCCTTTTGTATGTCTGAAAAGCTGCTCTAAGTAATCATTAATAACGTCTGCGTTGTACTTGATCAATTTCGATCTTTTCAGATTCTTGAGTATTGGTAATAACTCCGCGCGAATATCTCCTGTTTCTTCACTCTTCTCATCAAGCATTAACTTGAACCTAGTAATTCGTCTTGTCCCGTCCTTTGGAATGTCTATATTCTTGAGCTGTTTTTGCACTCCGAAGCCCCAGAACAAGGGATCTGATCTCCCACCGTTTCCTCTGGTATTTTCTTCTTCATTTTCCAGATTGTCTTCATCATCAGGAAACGAGCATGAAAAGTCGCTGCTTGCATCAGACATGGTGGGATCTTCGTTCATGGATTCTTCCTCAGAGATTTGCATGCTTTGATGGGCTAATTGTTTGTGTTTCGGCGTCTGAGGAAGACTATACCATAGTTCGGTGGGGACGTCTTCCCTAGGTTCCCACCCAAATGTAACTCCAGGCTGTGGGCGATCGTCTGGATATCTGGCGATGCATCTCACATCCGTTATGCCAACAGTGTCTCTCGGCGTCGTGTCACTAACTAGAGTATATGCGACGGAGGAGAATGTTGTGCCAAAATCGAATGCAACAACCAATCGTCTGGATAATTCCGCTGGCGCTGGTTCAGCGTCCGCCATTTCTACGTCCTGGTCGGAAGGAAGATGCGCAATTGTACCTGGGTCTAACTTCCGAAATCTGGCAAACGAGGTCTTAGAAGGGTGTGCCATAGTTTTGCGCCGCGGATACTGCTGCAATAATGCAAGAGGATGGTTGAGAAGGACGGTTTGGAATAAGGGTCCCAGCGTATTCCGGGTCCGGGTCAGACAGGATTCTACTTCGATGTACAAGTAGTGACGAAGGGCGCGAGCCTTTTCCGTACTCACGGCCACAAAGATCCTGAATGTCGCATGTTGCGTCTGGCGCAGCATTTGCTAGGTACTCGGTGTCCCAATCAAGCCTCTCCAAAGACCAACTGAATAAATTGCACTGCCCCAAGCTGCTGCCTACCATCGTACTGTGGTCTGA